TATTTGGTTAGGGCCCCACCATTAGACTTATCTAATCAAATAAGAAACTTAAGGTCAACAAGTCTTGAAGAACATGTAGAGTCAAATTACAACCTTAAGGTCAGCAAGTCCATCAACGGGTTGACAATATTTTGTTGTGGGGTAGCATCCCAAGTTTTAGCTTGAGCAAGTTAATGACATTAACGTAAACTTCCAAGTTGAGAGTGTCTTAAGAATATGAGGGATAGACTTGTAAGTAGATGATGCATATGGTGATGTTTAATCGGTTGTGGAAATACAAAACATAAGTGATATCAGAGACAAAACTATAGAAGATCAGGCTGACATAGAGGACTATTATAATGAGATAAACTACATAAGCTCTTAGAAACTAAGCAAGATGTTAGGGGGGCTGTCTACACATTGGACATAAGTCAAATGAGAAGTTAAAGAAAAAAAAATATAGAGAATGTAGATCACATCAGAGCACAAATACATGTATATGGAGAATCCTAAGGAAGGGAAGAACCATGAAAGAAGAATTAATACCTATGACTAAGGAAGCTTTACCATGCTGACAATGCACCAGCTTGATGACTATATTTTTTTCTCTTCTATTTCTACAAACCTTAATACAGAACCAACAAGTTCCTATGTCAATTGAGGGTCTGACCCTCCCCCATTCTCCACTTGTCACTCTATCCCCTTGAACCTCATGTAATATGGTTCTTGTCAAATTTGGGAGCTCATAGACATGGTAGACTTAATGATGTTGCTTTGAGTAGCTAGTGCCTCACTAGAACAATATAAATGAAGAACACTATATATTATATATATATATATAATATACACTAACACTTCCCCATCCTAGTGGCCTATTAATGTCCACTACCGTGGGCCTTATGTTAGATAAGTTGATCCTGTGACCACTTCTCACATTTGAGAACCCATCTCAACATGAAGCCTTCTTCCAAAATTTAGTTCAACATGTCAACTTTTTTGGACATGTGGCCCACTTAAGTAGCATGTATTCTTTTCAGCCCAAAGGGCCCCATTTTAGCATGCAACCCATCTCTTAATAGGTGGAAGTCCTTTTAAGATATCATTCCACTTTTTCTCTCTTTTCTTATGTCCTTTAGTTGCACTAGAAGAGAACAAGACTAAAAACTTACAAACTAGGAGGGTGGAGGCCACCAATTATTGAACAGCAAATAGGAGGAGACTTGCATCATTAGGTCCTATTGTGATATTGAGTCATCTTTGTCACTTATTAGACTATACAAATGATAATAGGAGAGAGAGAGAGAGACAAAGAATATGAAAAATAGACAATCGCTTATCTATATTAGTATTCTCTCCATGAAAATATCAAATCATTAACATATCTTTAGTTAGAACGAGTACAAGAATCTTATTTTTATGAGAACAATGATATAATTATTGTATTCCTCATTAATTTTTTATTTATATCACTTAAATTTAAGTCAAGATACCACAAATTTTATATTTATGTTGTTGGATATTTTAGTTTTACTCCATATTATTTATGTTATCTTCTATCTTCAATTGAAGAGTTTTTTTGTCTCTAGTTGATGTGTTTTATTACATTTTGATGACCATTTGAACTAATAGTGACGTAAAATATCCTTGAGTTATTCATTCATTCTTCTTTAATTGGTATTAGAGTCAATTTTTTTTATATTTATTACTTATATATAAACATAGAGGATGATTCTCGCATGGTTAGTTTAAATAAAAAATAATTAGATAATATGAAAATCAAGAATGAAAGATTTCATGTATTTTTAAGTACCTTCATAGACTTTTGTAGGGAGATTGAGAAAAACTTGAGATAGTGTCGATTGATGAGAAGAGAAGATTAGGAAAAAAAATAATAATTGAGTTCATTAGATAATTGCTTGGTGATAGTGTTTTTCACTGTCTTTACTAAGATCTTTGTGGATTTTCTTTAAAAATGGTTAGATAGTCTTTATTAAAGAAAAACATTTAATAAGTATGTTTTGAACAAAAAACTTGCAAATTGAAAATATAGAACTCTTATATGTTGAACATTTGAATGAAATAAAATATATTATTAACCAAACATACTTTTGTCAAGATATGCCTTGATGATGAGTTGTATATCCTATTACTTCTAAACTCATTATGAATGAGTAGGAGACAGAAATAAGTTATGATCAAGAAAAATATCAGTCTTTATAATTGTGGTGAAAAAAGATACTTTAAGAATCAATGCAAACAGTTCAAGAAGAATTAAAAAAAATACAAATACTGATGAGTCAAAAGATAAGAGGTGTCACTATGAAGAGTGGTGACTATTTGATTATACCTATCATTTACTAGATCTATTATTATCTTTGCTAAGATTTTTAGTACATTATTGACATAACTCTTATCATGACATACTATGAAGAGAGTCTTTTGCTACTCATAAGATTGAAAACTTGGCACTATCAAGATGGACAATCAAAGCATAATTGACAACATCAACATGGTTGATGTCCACATTAAGATCAATTTTGACTATAAACTACGATATGTAGTTGATTTGAGACAATTAATTTTGATAAAAAGGTTAGATAATAAATGATTTGATGAACATTTGATAAAATAAAGTAAAAGGTTAGTAAATGACATTTGTTATAACTTTTGGAAAGAAGCACAATACTTTGTATTGATTGTAAGTTGACTCTGGTGACTAGTTAATGTGGTATAAAAAAATTTAGTATGAAATTGTGAGATAAAAATATAGGTGAGAAAGGATTGCAAGCTATTTCTAATAGAGATGTCTCACTTAACTTCAAAGGTATAGATTTTAATAGATATGTTGATTGGTTGAGTGGTAAATAATATAAAGTTTCCTTTATTTTCTCTATATTGGTTGCTAAAATACATATTTTAGGTTGTGTTTATACAAATATTTATGATCTTTTGAGGACAAAGACCCACATAGATCTATTGACATTTGACACACTAATGGTGTTCTTCATTTTGTTACTTTCATTGATGATATTTAGGTTTATCCTTTGAAGAGTAAAGATCAAATTACTGATATTTTTAAGGAGTTTCACATTAATGTGAAAAGAACATTCATAGACAATTAAAATATGCATCATATTAAATAATAGTAGTTAGTAGGTAAGATTGATTGCTAATTACCATAGGTTTTAAGATATTCATCATGAGATGATAATCTCGTACCCTCCTCAATCTAATAGGATTATGTATAGAATGGACCACACAATCATTAGTAAGATATGTATGCATACTTTCAAACTACCAACAATATTTTTGGATGAGTCATTGAAAACAACACTATGTATCTTACAAATAATCTTTTACTATGCATACCTTTATACGATGATATTGTAGAGTATGTATGGCCATAAAATGATGTATCTTAAAAATAAGTAAGGATGTTTGGTAGCCATATTTTTCCATATGTTTCTAATGTTGAAAAATCTAAACTAGATGATAGGAGAAAATAATGTTTTTTCTTTGACTACTTATATGACAAGTTTGGTTACAATTTTTAGAATTTAGAAAATCAAAAGATATTCTAGAGTGTGGACATGACCTACTTTAAAAATTATGACTAAATCACTTCTTTAATGTGCTATGATGAAGAGGGAGATGTGAATGAAATAAAAGCTGATGTAAACTTACTTACAAGGAATGATGAGTAAAAATAAGTGAAAGAGAAATTTCTCACAAAGCCTCCTCTAAGGTCTTTTATATAACGTCAACTTTCTAAAAGATATCGTCAAGATGAGTATAATATACTTATTGATGTAGATCAATTAGAGAGTTACCAAGAGATAGTTGAAAGTGAGTATAAAAAGTAGTTAGTAATTATGTATGAATAAATGGAGATGCTGCATAACATACATATGATATGTTATAATTACTAAAAGACAATAAAGCTTAAAGAACAAATGAGTTTCAAGTTGAAGGCTCAAGAATAGTCTTCACACGCAAAGTACAAAATTAGATTGGTTGTGAATTCAACCAAGAAAAAGGTATTAGTTTTCATAAAAAAAAAATCTTCTTGTCAAAAGATCTTTGATTTATATTGCTCTAGATAAGACTACCAGCATATATCTAAAGATTGAACAATAAGACATGAGAATAGTCTTACTTTACAATGATTTAGATGATGAGATTTATATTGAGCAACCAAAAGGCTTCAAAGTCAAGGGTAAAAAATAACTTATTTAAAAAATAAAGAAAAAATTATATGAGTTGAAATAAGTCTAAGAGAATATTATAATAAGTTTGATTTATTATGATTGAAAATAGATACAAATATACTATCTTACATCATTATGTATACATCAAGTGGTTTAGTGAAAAATTTGTTATTTTCTTATTATATGTGGATAACATGTTTGTCATTAAAAATATATCTACTATTAACAAGTTAAAATAAGTTGAATGAGTCACATGTTATGAAAGACATGGTGTTAGCCAATCAAATACTTAACTTGTAAATCTTTCGTAATATAAATGTCAAAAAGATAGAGCTATCACAAGAGAAATATATAGAGAAGGTCCTTGACATATTTGATATGAGTGATGTTAGGAAAATTAGTACTCTTTTTACTAATCACTTTAGTTTTTTGTTCAAAGTAGAGGTCATCAAGTGATGGAAAAAAGACAATATGAAGAAAATTATCTATACTTTAACTATTATAGTCTTGATGTATGAAATAATATGTACAAGACCAAATTTCACATATGTAATGCATGATGGAAATAAATATTGGGCAGTGTTGAACTTGATATTTAGATATCTCAAAAGAAGCTCTAAAGTTTGTTTGAACTTTGGAGTTGGTTTTTATGTATTGATATATTATTTTGATACTAATATGACTAGAGATATTAACACATAAAAATTTATTTCAGATTATTTAGTCATCTTTGCATGGAAAGGTAAAATGAGATGATTGAACAAAAGAAATATTCATGTTTCTTAAGAACATGACTTCCCACAGATCAAACTAATAGGTGGAGCTGAAAAGGGCTTGACCAATAATATCAATGGCCTCAATGTCATGCTCAATGCATCTATAGATGTAGCTGCTCTTGCTCTCGCTTAGGCTTGACCCATGCTTTCATTATACACTTGTCAAAACATTTGCCCTTTAAGTGTATTAGAAAAGAAAGCAACATAAAAAATATAAGAAAAATATATTATATAATTCACATTGATAGGAGGATATGAAAAAAAATAAAAATCAACAAGTATACATAATGTGGGACATGACCACCATTCCTTGTATGATAAGGTTGGGTGGATCACAAATAATTTCTTTGTCATAGATTAATACATAGTGCATGATACCAAAATAACAACACCACATTATTAACAACACCATCATTAGTTTCCTACTTCATCAAGAAATATACATTTAATTTGGCACAATAGAATAGTGATTTTTCATAGCATTAGAGGCTCAACTAGCATTACAAATTCAATCAATATGTATCATTATTGGGGCCTAAAAAAAAAATTATAGTGCAAATATGAGGTAAAAATTGAATGTTAAAACTTCCATAATCTCCACATTAGAAAAGAAATTAAGTTACTCAACGACAATGTACATAAAAATCAACATAATAGTGGGCAATAAATTAGTTCCTACTAGTAACTTCCCAATTATTGAACCAATACTGAGGAGAGAAGTAGACTATATCCACTTTGACAATTGAAGTGCACAAATTTCATCAAAAAGTTTCAGTCATAACATATTAGCATTTAATTGACAAAATATTTGCCTCTAGAAATAAAAAGAAGACAAGATCTAAATATCCAATATAAAAAAACAAGCACATGGCTTGGAAAATGATACTCGAAAAGCAAGTTCAAAAACTTGAAAATCAAGGAGAGTTTTTATTACAGAAGATAGCCTCCTCATTTATTTAACTAACTAGTGAATAAATTTTCAATGAACCTTTACTCCAAAAATTAATATATGATTTAGTCCATTAATTGTTGCACTAAGTGAGGATAAAGCAATAGTCTTATTTGTGCACTTATTTAGTGTCCTTAAGAATCAAGAAGATTGAAGCCTCCAATAGGTGTTGATAGAATACACATTCTCCTATAAAATGGTTATAACAAATCAAAGCAATGAAATGTTAATCTATAGACAAATGATAAAATGACAATACAAGTATAACAAAAAAAGATTCAACAACTCAATGTTGAGATAATTTAGCATCCTAATATAATTACATACTTTGATCAATAAAGTACATAAACATCAAATTAGAAGAGCCAAATACTACTTTCTTATAACATGTGACTTTGAACTAGTCACTATGCCCAAAGTTATCAACCAAGCAACACAGACTGGTCATTCCATTGAGTTCTTAAGATAAAATTCTCAATACAACACCTCCATGAGGTATGGTCCCTTGTATGATCAACCAGCAGTTCTATTCGGCTAAAGTACGCCCAATTTTTATGATTGACTGACAATTCCATTGACATGATGAATGACACATAACTTTGACTGATAAAAAGATATCAAGAAAGTTTTATTCTTTCAATTAAATTATAAATAATAAAGTAAGAAAAAAACATTCATCATCTTAATACTAGTGTAAATACATGTCATCTTAGAGCACATATGGACAATAAGAGTCAAGGCAAACACGGAAAGATAATGTTCAAAGGCTAGATCACAACAAGTTGTTATTGACTACAAGAAGTAAAAAATATAGACAACAAAAGACAAAGAATAGAAACCTACTGAATATTTGCATAAATATATGTATATCTAGAGAGAGAGGGAGAGAGAGAGAGAGAGAGAGAGAGAGAGAGAGAGAGAGAGAGAGAGAGAGAGAGAGAGAGAGAATTTATGTTGAAGATACAATCTTGTCTTAATACACATATTCTCTATATATATCGTGCACATCTCATCTAATATTCCTCTATGAAACTTTAGACAATTTCATGATTTTTCAACTATTCAAAAACAAAAGCACCATTTGTAATGTTTTTTCAATAAATATTATTCGATAGTGGTATTAGACTCTTGGCCTATAGGGGCCCATTATCTTCTCTCTCTCTCATCTCTCTTACATATAGGAGTTATGTGTTCTAACTTGATGTAAGATGGATTTTATGGTTTTACTTTCTTGTGTCAATATGATATCAAAGCCCTAGGTATCTATCATCGTCGTCTTCCTCTCTAATGCACTGCTTATCTCTAGCACGCCACTCTTTTCCTCACCGGTCTCTTCCCTCCTCAGGTGGCTCTTCAACATCGCTACTCTTCCCTCTTTTAGCATTGTCATCTCTACCATCGCTTTCTTTTTTCATTCAACATCGCCCTCCTCACCATTGCCATCCTTCGCCAGTGTCATCGCTCTCCTCCTCTTTTCTAATATCTCCACTATTGCCGTTGACATTGAGGCCCCTCCTCACCATCATGCCTTTGCTATCGTGTTGTCATGGGTGATGAGTTCAATTTTTTATAGGTGTCATTAAGCCTAAAGCTTCTCAATCAAAATAAGATAAATTGATCATAAATCTGTAGATAATAGCAAGTCATGTCATACCTCAAAAAATCTAGACAAAATGATTTAATACTCATATGTTTAAGTGAAAGAAGAAGAAAAAAGATAAAGAACAGAGGAATAACATGGATGGGAGAGATGAGAAGGAAGAGAGATGAGTTCTTGATCTGATTTCTCATATTCAGAAGGGATGAAACCAAAAATTGAATGATGTGTAAAATAATATTTCACAAACTTAACCAGCCTCTAATTTCAAATTGAAATATAATCTTAAATGAATAGAGATATCGTTCACCACAAAACTAACCTGGCTTCACCACTCTTTCTTTTCTATTTTTACTAGGAAGAGACGCTTTTATAGTAGTGGGAGAGGCCTCATTCACGCAAGATGAACTTCCATTCCTATTGCAATACACCTGCAAACATGCATGGTGGAGCCCAGGAAAACCTTTTCCCTCTGGGTGTATGCAAGGACCATGATTTTCCACTATTAAAAGAATTGTTCATAACATTGTTTTACCTCAAATATATAGAGCAACACCTTCCCTTCTCTCTCTCTTTCTTCTCCATGTATGAGAGAGACTATGGGAAGGTTCTAGTGACTTCGCGCCTTGCTAGTTAGCTGCACATTGTTAGATATGTGGGTCTCCTCTTTCTACTACCTTCCACCATTGAATGACTAGTTCCTCATTAAGTGACCTCTATTGTTGGATTGGTGAGCCCTCATTTCTTAGTGTCTATGTTCCTTGGCCATTAGATTGCTTTTGTCATAAGGAGCACTTGTTGCATGCAGCAGCCGAATTCCAATCATATATTATATGTCCTAGACCTATGTAATAAAGTATTAAAAAATACTAGAAAAAAATTAATAAAATTCTTAAAATATAAGGTCTATTATGGTAATGTTTAATGTGGCATCAAATGTATATCAAAAGAGTAATTCAAGAAAATATCAAAAATATTAATATACTTTCAAACATTAAAATCACATCATTAGAGTGAGTAAATATTGAATAACATCTCAAAAAATACTAAAATATAGAAGATAAACGTATATTTCTGGCCTACTATTTATGTGTTATCAATGTGCACCATCACTCTCAAGTGTCGACACTACTATCAAGGTGCCTTGCCATCGCACTCTTGCTACCTTGGCCCTTGCTATTGCCATTGGAGGCACCGTCACCATTCAACTGCAAGGGCTAGGGTTTTGCCCATCTTCTAGTGAGTCAATTGGTCCACCAATTGGCTCACCAGCCCATCAATGTCATCCTAGTGGGCGATTTTCTTTCAGATTGGCTTGTTGGGCCCCAATCTACTCTCCCCACCCCAGCCAGCCCCACTGCTTGCCCCTCTGGTCCCACCACACCACCAGCTGACTCCGCCTACCCCTTTGGCTTGAACACACCAACCCTATGGTGTTGTCTCACCCTCTTCTATTGCTTGCCTCTGAGCCCTCTAAGCTTCTTCCAACTTATGTTCTCTCTTCTTCAATGATTTCTCTAGCTCACCACTCCATCATAGTGCAACTTACTCGGTTGGTGTACATCTTCAACGGCCACAATTATGCGTCATGGACATTTAGCTTTGAGCTCTTCCTTTGATCTCACGGTCTCCTCCATCACCTCTTAGAGGACCCACCTATCCTTCAAGACCCCTCGTATGTGACATGGTCATAGTTTGACTTAGTCATCATCACGTAAATACTTTAGAGCATCGAGTCTAACATTGTCGAGTTATTGGCATGTATCACCTTAGCTTGTATCTTGAGACTCATTATAAAGATTATGTATGACAACTAGATGAACATCAATTGTGTTGTAGCGTTTTTCAAGTCTCTTCTATCTTACAAACAAGATGATCTCTCTCTTTAAGCCCACTACGGTCACTTTCAAACTTTCATCTAGGAGGTTGATATCTATTAGCCTCCTACTACTGACCTCCTGACCCTCTAACACTATCACTAGAAGTTTTATATTAGGGTTTATCTCAATAAACTTCATTCATCATCAAATTCTAGATTTAGGGGTCTATTCTCTTTAAGAATTACATGTCTGATTTTGTTTTTATCTTCTCAACAGCTCTTTAGGTCACCACTAATACATTCTTTCACTCCTCATCTTTTTTTCTAGATGCCACCTCTACTCTTTTGACTATTGTTATTGCTACTCTATGAGCTCGAGATAAGACTCCTTCCCACCTTGATAGTAGTTGTACTCACAAATGTAGACGCAACACTTTTCTTCTATGTCTCTATTGCGAAAAGTAGAACTATCTGGCTACTAAGTATTGGAGGTAGTTCGATAAGCCTACTTCTACACCTAGTGATGACTTCTCTGACTTTGACGTCCCCTATTCCATTCTATGTTCTAGTTCTTATCTTTTACGTGATCTTGACGTCTACAAAGTATGACACCTTTCACTATGTTAGTGGTACTAATGCTTTCACTTCTGCTAATCTCACCTCATTTTAAGCCTCCTCTAGGCTAGGTACACATGTGCTCTTTGGTTCATCTTTAATGATGTAGATCATCAATTTGGGGGCCTTCACTCACATGACTACTATCCTCACTATTCTCTCCTCTTATCAGCTTACCTTGACCCATCCTCTTGTCACATTTGCTAGTGGCAAGCCTGTTTGATCAAAGGTTATGGTGCCACCTCAACTTCTCTCTTTTTACTTCACTCAAATTCTCTACATTCTCAATTTTCTTACTAACTTTTTTTTCATTAGTGTTATTACTCGTGCCCTTTATACTATCACATTCTTTCTCTTTCACTATACTTTTCAAGATCTACATACTTGACGGAGGATTAGTTTGGGTTATGAAAACAAACAGGGTGTTTACAAACTCATTTTTTATGAACCCTATTCTGACCTTTGAGCCTTTTTTGTAACCTCCCTTTTCTTCTGCAACATCGATGTTGAGGTCATCTTTGTTACTCTAAATTATAAAAAACTTTACCGTGAATTTCTCTCTCTAAGTTTATATGTAAGTCTTGTTGGCTAGACAAACATCGCCATGTTTCTTATCTTAGTCGTAATGGCATCCCCTCCTCTGCTCTCTTTGACCTTCTTCATTGCGATGTATAGAGTATATTTGGTACTTACTTCATCATTGTGCTATTATATTATTTTTGTTAATGACTACATTCATGTGAGTTAAGTTTACTTCACATGTAACTACTCTGAGGTTGTCACCATAATTATCTATTTCATCACTGAAGTTATCACCCAATATATCACTACACCCAAGATTCTTTGTATTGATAATGCCCTTGAGTTTGTCTAAGCCTTTCTTCACATCTTCTACATTGATCATGACATCTTCCATAAGACTAATTACTCTCACACTTCGCAGCAAAATAATATTACTAAGTACAAACATCATCAACTCCTTAACATTACTCGCATACTTTTTTTTAAGATAAATGTCCCCCATTATCTCTAGGCAGATGCTCTTCTAACTATCACTTACTTTCATAATCGGCTTCCATCTATTCCTCTTCGGGGAGAGGAGTGATTTCTCTCTATCATTTAATCTTTGATTCTTTTCTTTTTTCTCCTTCTCTTCAGGTTTTTGAATATATTATCTTCATCCAAGATTTTTATTCTATTTCTAAACTCACCCCTTGTGCTCTTAAAGGGGTCTTTGTCAATTACTTTCGCACATAAAAGGCTATTGGTTCTACTTCCTTAATGCTATCACTATGTGACCTCAGCCGATGTCACTTTTCATGAGTCTTCTTTCTTCTCCCCAGTTTTGACTCCTCTTCCTTGGGCCGCTATATCTCCTTCACCTGATTTCCCTCCCTTGGTAGTTCTTGTGGCCCCCCTTCTCTTCACTCATGTCCACTCTCTTTGGGGTCATTACTCACACCCACCTCTCTTCGGCCCATGTCTCTTATATCTCCTCTTACTCTAGATGTAGTATTTCTCTTCATCTTATCTTATAATCCCCTCTACACCTTCAGTCACTACTTCACTTGATGACTTTTGATGTGACTTAGTCATTATATAGTAAATCATGTAAATTTAAAATTTATAAAACTAAAAAATACTAATTTTTAAATATTTATAAGTATTTTAAAATAAATATATAAATTATAATTTAATAAAACTTCCAACAATAGTGATAATTTTTTAGGTTGATCACAATGATGTAATATAATATCGGTTAAGTTTTCAGAATTTTGCTCAAAGAATATGATTTCTTATGAATTTTATATTAAGAAATAAAAATAAAATATATTTAAAATTCTGAAAAAAGGAAATAAAAATGATGATGTCAGCACTCGACGAACGTGAATCAGAAAAAAATAGAGTTCTGCTTGACAATTCTTACGTAAGTGATTACAAATGATTTAATTGATCAAATTAAGATTTATAAAATCTAGAAGAATCGTAATTGAATGAAATATAATTTAGTAAATTTAAATCACACAAATTATTACTAAATGAAGTAAAAATTAAGTTGAAAGTAAGAAATAGAGTTCCGGCGTTGCGACGGTGATGTGTCAACAATCGAAATCCAGTGTTTAAGAAGATTATTGTGCAGTGTCCATGCCTTCAAAGACTTTCCTTAGACAAAGATAACATGGTAATTTTCTAGATCTCTTTGCAAAGTCTAGAGATCAATGAAATGAGTTGTCGAAGCATCTCTGATAGTTGTCACTTAATGAAGTGGAAAAATGACAACTTTGCGGCTCTTCAATGACTGTCAACTGACGAAGAAGAGCTAGATGGAGGTGAGGCATGTGTTAGGAAGCTTCATCCTCAAATCCACATAGTAAAAAGAAGTTCTTTATCTCATCTGATATACTCTTAAGAGGTGGCAACTTATCTCCTGATAGATTGTCTTCTTTTTAATGATGACTTGTTCATCGATCAATTAGAGATGATTTATTCAATAGATTCATGATCTTTTTATTGCAAATCATTCAATAATTTTAGTAATAATGCTTTGTAAATCGTATTAGTGAGATTTTTGCCGATGATCTAATGATTCTGACGACTTAATCCTTCATTGATGATTTACAAGAAAGTCATAATAATTAAATAAAAATACGAGTTTTGCCTTTGAGAAGATTCAAATTTACGTCGATTGCCTATCTTCATGAGAGAGATTGAAATAAGTATTATAATGCTCTTATCAAGTGATGTCATCATAGTATATCTCTATTATAACGAAGAAGTAGTTTAGGTATTAAAATCGTCAAACTTTTTCAAAGGAAGATGTGGCATGAGTTTAGTCTCACATCACTTATGCGCCAAAGTTTTGGACGAATATATATTAATATCATATTTATAAGTAATGAGTCTTTTTCTCCCGCATGTGCAACCACTTCTTACCCTAACTTTAGTTGGCCACTTATGACATGGAAGTAGAATGGCGTACACGTGCCCCCATTAGTTTTAGTCACTCAAGCTCTTGCTCACAACTCCCCTCGACTGTGCTTCCAACCTACTTGCAGGCCTGACTGCCTAGCAAGTCCCCCCCCCTCTATTTTGTTATATTTTTATTTGTATTACTTTTTATTTATTTATCTAAAAAATAAAGCTATAAAAATAATATAAATTCAGAAAAAAATACATAATTAGCCACAAATTCATGTTAATCAATTGAAAATTACTTTTCACACTTTAACACAAATATAAGTCTATTTATCATGAGTTACGACTAAAATTATATTATTTACTAATTATTAACTTATAATAAAGACTTATCAACCTTCATATCCTTATTTCCCTCCACAATGGTACACACGTAAATATCCATCATTCCATCTCTCAATTTATTTCTTATAACCTCTTTCTCTCTCCTTTCGTGTCTTTGACCTCTTTGTGGCCTTCGAGTCATTTTCATAATCATATAAGTTGAGGCTGCACATATATCTACATAAAAGGTGGTCATGGATTCAGACGTGACTACATTGGTTACTTAAGAGACTTCTGCGCCTAATTGATGTCAACATTATGAAGTGCAAGTGGTTATTTACCCTCAAATATCACTTGAATAACTCCATCACTCGTCACAAAGCCCATCTAGTTGCTCAAGGCTTCACGTAAGCATATGAGATCGACTACACTAAGATATTCTCTCCCGTCATCTACCTCAACTCTATCTATGTACTCTTCTCTCTTGCTGTCAATCAAGTATGTCTCTCTACTAGTTAGATATTTCTAACTCCCTTCTCTATGGTGATCTCGAGAAGTAGGTCTTTATAAAGTAACCTCTTAAGGATGTTACTCAGGGAAAGTCATCAAAGATGTGTCTCTTACAACATGTCATTTATGAACTCAAGTAGAGTCCACATATTTAGTTTGCCAAATTTAGTAGTTTACTCACAAAGAAGACAAAAGGTGACCTTATCATCTTTATAATATATGTCAATGACATTTTTGTGATTAGAAGTGATGAGGCTAACATCTCTACTACCAAAGTCTACTTGTAGCAACACCTTAGCTTTGTGACTTAAAAACTCTATAATATTTTATTAAAATTGAGTTTGTGTATGAGGATAGGAAGTTTAACCTCACTTAACAAAAGTATGTCATCAACATGTTTTAGGAGATAAGCCTCTTTGGATACAAGTCAGAGACTTCACCCATAGAAGCTCATCTATAATTCTAAGACACTTCATCTCCCCTACTTGAGGATAATAACTAGTATCGACGATTATTAGGTAAGTTGATATATCTTACTATCACTCGCCCTAACACCATGTATATGGTTAATGTCCTGAGCTAGTTCATATAAGAGTCTTGATGAGTTCATTGAGAAGGAGCTCTACATGTCTTCGTCTACATCAAGTGAGTTCCAAGGAAAAAGCTCATCTATAGACGACATGGCTATCTTTACATTGCAGCCTACTCTAACACTGAGTATGTAGGTGACAAGGGCCACCGAGTCTACTATGGGTTATTGCACATACACCAACAATAACCTAATCACCTAACAATCTTGAAAACAAAGGGCGGTGTTTTGTTTTAATACAAAATCCGAGTATCAAGTCATGGTTGAGACAACATGGAAAATGATATAGTTTTGATCATTTCTCGACGATCTCAATATTATTTTTCCCTCTCCAATGTCTATATATTACGACAATCAAGTTACCATCTTCATTGTTGACAATTTTACCTTTCATAAGTGTATGAAACACATTGAGATTGACTACCACTACATTTGAGATAAAGTTATGTCTAGACATACCTCTACTTCTCATATAGTATCATCTCATTAATTTAAGGACATCTTTACGAAGAGTTTAGTTGAAATCTCTTACGATGTCATGTGTATTACGTTGGACATGTTTGAATTACATGTTACAATTTGAGGAAAAGTGTTCAATATAATGGTATCAAACTCTTAACTCACTAGGACTCATTATTTCTCTTTCTCTCATCTCTCCTCTCTCCTATATATAGGAGTCATATATTCTACCTTGATATAAGATGAATTATATAGTTTTCTTCTCTTATGTCAACAAATATATAATATTGAAAATAGAGTACTACCTAACCTTACCACAATCACTACCTAAATGCTTCTCATTAATTAACTACACTAGAAGACCTCTCATGATAAAGAGTAGAAATTGTTAATGTCGTGGTGATCATTTGATCTCCAAGTTATTTGATATTATTTCATAAGTTTGAGTCATATAATCAGCAATGATAAATAGACATGAGATCAATATGAAAAAGTTGATATCTAATTCTTCTCATCATCGAAAGTGTGTTTAAATCCACAATAACACATAATCCCATTTCTTCAACCTCCCACATTTAAGACTCTGATTTGCAAGGAGTCTAATACACTGAGAGATTCAGAATCTTGATGGCACACTTTAATATTTGCCATGTCTAAGAGACGCAGTACTTCAGAAAAAGTAAGTGAGTAACTAGAGATCTTAAAAACAAATTTTCCTTAAGAAAAGCAATAGTAAGACTAAAACATAGAAGTAGCTTGTTGAGACAGTCTGGCATAACTCAAGCAAGAAAGGTCACTTCAAAGAAAAAAGATTGTGAGGTCATAATCAAAATGTACTCAAGATATCCTTTCAACCCCCCTCCCCCCCAATAAAAGATTAGCTCTCTACGTTAAGGCAATTCCTACATCACTCTGTTCATTACAATCTAATCCTCAAATATAACTAGATCCATTAGTGAGGATATTGCTAAAACTTTTTAATTACATGCTGAGCAAGAAACCATTGGTTAGGGAATAACTAAATAGCACATTCATGATTAAGAAATGGTTCACTTGTGGTCTCTGCCGATTACTTCATCATCATCTGTAATTATATTACCATAGAAATAACTAGGTTAACTAGTGAATAAAAACGATGAAGAGAAAGAAGACAACATTAGTAATATAAGCTCAACATCTTGCAGTCTTAGTGTCAGATTTTTTGGGAGGATATAATGTCCAAATTATCTGAAAAACGACATCCAGAAACAGATAATCAGAAAAAATGGACGGATATTCGTCCTCTTCATACACCACACGCGATCCCTACCATGTTTAAAAAACAAAGAAAGCGAGGATGCAGTGCGCACTTCATATCCAACAGGCTGGGGAACAGAACCACGTTAGCTCCAGAATACCAACGGAAGGGTGAACGATGTTGCACCTCGATGAACTCCTCCGCACAGGCCTGGGCAAGCTGGACCTTGACCTGGTCCATCAGCGCCTCCGCGGACGGGCCGGAAGACGAAGACGACGGCGACGACAACCCGCTCGACGTATATGACGACGAGAATGGGTCCATTCTTTCCCTTCCATCCCCAAGCGCCACTCCAACCGGCGAAAAAGCCCTACGGAAGAAAAACCCTAGAGAAAAGAGAGCCGCAATTGGGCCCAACTTCATTGTCGGAGCCCGAGCCCATTCCAGTGGCCGGCCCACGCCCCTGAATTAAATGAGAAATACAATAAGATTGTCCCACTTAGGCAAGTCTGGTGTCTATAATGCATATTTAGTACACTTTATGCTATTTTTTTACTCCCTGAAAGAATAATAAAATGATTCTCTCTCACACACACACTCTCTCTTCTTCTCTATGTACCCCCGTCTCTCTCTCTCTCACTCTCCCTCTTTCTGTAAACCCCCCTTCTTTCCCTCTCTCTCTCTCTCTCTATATATATATATATATATATATTCCTCTCTCTCTCTCTCCACTCTCCGGGGTTGCGTCGGAGGCGGTCCCGGTCTTTGTGTCATAAATGACGACGTTCGAGCTCCATCTGAACGTAGGAAGGCGCCGGCCCATCCCCTTCCATTGATTTCTCGCAAAATATTGTTAGTTATCCCAACTCCGACTTATCTACGGTTCTCTGTTGTCTCCTTCGCAAGACGGGTCAGAACTTGTGTGAGAAACGTGGCCGTCTGCTGGAGTCCGAAGTCAGAGATGATACACCGATGTCTGATTATATTATACGTCTTCGCCTCTCTCTCTCTAACAGCAGAAAACGATAGAAGGGCACAATAGGGGAAGAAGCTGAGGCCGGTCACCTCTAACAGTAGTAGGCTCTGAATGAAACCATGAGCGTCCGTCTCGTCTCACGGGCGATCTACCGGCTGATATTTTCTTCACATCTATCCTAGGCAAAAAGATATGGTTTCCTATCCTCTTCGATCTCAAACCTACTCATTAATTAGGTAGAAAAGAAGCTCGCAAGTTGTAAGAGAACCGGAAACCTCTCGCTGTCCGCGAAAGCAACTCCAGCTCCACTTTATTCTCCATTCATCCATTCGACGTCAATGTTTTATATCCGATCGTTGACTTTCCTCCTCTCTCTCTCCTCTCCCTCTCTCTCTCTCTCTCTCTCTCTCTCTCTCTCTCTCTTCTCTCTTCATTTATAGGGCGTCGTCTCTTACACTGCTATGGGAGAGGACGAATGCCAAAATGACGTGGGGATGAGGAAAAGGTCACGGGAGAGATCTGCCTCCAGCAGCCTACCGATATCCCTGTTCAACTCGTGGTCCATGCAGGGAAGGCGAGATCGATCGCCCATAACCTTCGGCTGCACGCGTTCTCTGCATCCCCTCTCAGCGCCCCTTCGCGGCGCAGGAAAAGTAAAAGCTGAGGGTATGAGGAAAAGAAGAATGAGCAACAATGACAGCGGACGGCGACAAATGAGAAGCAGAGGCCACTGAATACGTGGAGCCCATCTTCTTCCGACACCTCCCCGCTTCGTTTCGGTCCCTTAGAGAGAGAGAGAGCCAGAGAGACGACGTCTGTCCTCCCCCTACTCTGTCTCTGTCTGGCTGGCTCATGGGAATAGGGCGACGCTGCGGCGCCGACTGATTTGTTGGCCTCAACTTGAGAGGGACGGCAGCTTGCCCAAGATAACGTGACGGAGAAGAAGGGGGATCTCCCGAGGACCACCATAGGGGATGACGATGACGAAAGTGCTTGCCGCCGCATGGCCGAGGCACCGACGCCACCAGGAGTTCCCTCGCCCGTGCCCCCTCGCCGCCACGTGATCCGCTGTCCTATTTGTCCCTGCCAGTGCTGACGCAGCCCATACCGACGTTGGGTTGCTAGGGAATTCTCCTCTCCCCTGTCTAGTTAGACTCTGCCTCCGCGTGGACTCTATGACCATGATTGGTGGCCTGTGTTACGTGTCCAGGGGGGAGACCCATTCATGGTGCCTGGGTACAGCTCACTTTCATGCATATAAAGCGTCTAATTCTCAATACATTTGCATCGCTGCATCTATGATTGTGATCTGTACGCTCTTCTCGGCCATAGAGGGCGTCAAGAGAGTCTCATGTCCACAAAAAATGGACGCTTAATTATATGTGCGAATGAAATTAATAGATAGGCCGTAGTCGGCACGGACGGCAGTCGTACCTAAGCGGCTGCGTGAAGAGATCTGGAGTTAGATTCGAGCCCCACGGGGTGAAAGGTTTGGTTTTTCTAGCAAAATATCGGATCGACGTGCCGTAGAATCACCGTTGGGTCTGTACGGCTGGGGGGAGGGCTCTCCTCGGGATGCACTCCTCTCCAAGGCGTACATGACAGTACCTCTGCATGGGTTGCAGAGGACCACCTGATTAGGGATGAACATCCAGGATGCTGGCGAGGGGAGAACATAGTAGCCTACTCGCGTGGCGCAGAGTGGGCGCGATCTAGCTGGTGAGCTGCTGTTGCCCCCGCTGTCCCTGTTTTGGTCTATTCTCTGCAACACGGACAGTGGGGGCTGGGCCGATCGTTCACTGTTAGCCGCGCAAGATACTTCGTGCAACCTGCCAATCACCATGAGTCAGCATCCACTAAACTTGGGCTATCTGGTTTCAGAATGTATTACCGTCATCCATCGCGAAATGCAGTACAGGAATCTTTCGCCTGCGCACGGTCCCCCACAGAACCCAGCTTCCCCAGCTCAGGGAAGCATCACATAGGTGGAAGGGTGGGACTTGTCTCCATGGGGTCTGCAGGTGGAATCTGATGCGGATGGTCAGTAAAATTGTGGCCTTATGTTTTAGGGGTCTTGAGCGAGTACGTCCCCATGGGGCTAGTTTTCTTTCCATCATTTCCGGCCATCCGACAGGATATTGTCGATGAGGTTCCTTACACAACTTAATATGGTTCCCTAACTGCTGTATTTTTGACGGTGCATGACCTTTCCAGACTGTCGAATGGAGAGAACTGAAGAGAACGAGAGAGAGAGAGAGAGAGAGGGAGAGAGGGAGGGGAACAGAATGATATCAAGCGTAGCATCATCTAGTTGACAGAAGGACGGTTGCGCGTCATTCCTCATGATTATAGACTACGAGCGGTTAGTTGGTGGACGCCGTACTCGCCGGAGGACCTTGCAGGCGAGAAACTAATATGCCTTACATGTGTCACATGTGAATAGAACCCACGATCCTCCTGACGAAATCAACAGCGCAAAGCATGACTACCGACGATGACAAATCCGATTTCTAGTTTTTTGTACTAAACAAGCTGACAAGACTCTCCTTCTCCCAATAACTTGACGTACAGCTCGGTAGGCGTAGATACCGTGTAAAGGGTTGATCATCCCAGAGAATCATGTCGCCGCATAAAGGGTAAAGGAAAGAAAGAGGGAGACCTTCCATCTTCACTAGTAGCAGCTTGATGTCTTGATCTTCTCTGTGGCGACCACTTAACTGCGTTTACATGGGCGATGCGTTGGAATCTATGATAGACGATGCAGAGATAAAATTAAGAGTGTTGATATAAGGATATGATCGTTTTCTCCGAATACCATCTAAGAAGTCGTACCAAGCTCATTGGTTTTTCTGGTTTTGGGCAACTGGCGTAGCATACCATTTAACTCTAACTTACGAAGTAATGCTTCAGAACTTTCTGAGATGATCGACGACAAGTGGACCGAAATTCATGAAAAGAAAACTGTTAACTATTTCCCCTTGCTTAATAATTGAACATATCTCCAACATTCCAGGTAATAAACGATAGAAAAATAGTATGACTAGAATGTAGTAAGCGATATATCATTCATGGGATCTTTATAGCACTCTAGGAAAATAATACAACCCAATGAGGCCGTTGCTAAGGACGCCAAGGAATTCATGTCAATCGTGTTTCATTAATTGAATGTGGAGCCTGAATTTTGTATCAGCATCTAGCCTTCTAGGCATTTTTTCAAAACTGATTTAGTGGAACTAAACCTCTTTACAAGGAATTTGCCCATAGTTTCAGGTTAACATTATGAAGATAGTTTTGTGATAAAGTGAACTTAGCATGCATACAAATCAATCTTACTGCATGAGACCCAAGTGTTACAGCCAATGGCTACATCATATTCGTGGCTGTGCCCCTGAACAAGTGATGGACTAATATAAACTACACCTCATAGATTAGCTAAATATTAAAGCATGAAAAGTTTTCCCACTGTGAACTGATTTAATCTTGCCTTCGTTAGATCTTACCAGAGTAGTAAGCGAAAAAAATTTGAAACCCAAGCAAGGCAAACTTTCGGAACATGAATCTCTCAGTTCCTAGTTCTGAACATACCATGATGACTCAATAGAACTTGATGGGGGGACTACTCAATGCACATGTTCTAAAACCTACCAGCGAAAAGGTAGCGCATGAACCTAATGATTGAATAGAAGGATCCTGAATATTCTCCAATCACTCCCCAGAAAGAAGTAAATGAGAAAAAGCGCATTCCCAATATATCTCCATTTCCATCCTCCGTAGATTTTCTCTTTGTACCTTGATAATCTCAGCCTTTTACGGCTATAGTCCTCCTACTTCTTGGTGTTGACAAGGTTAAAACAGAAGACATATATATCCCGTAGCTGACTAAGAACCGCACTGTTCCTGCCTAAAACTGAAGACATAGTAACAAGAGTAGATTAACAACATATCTCTCTCTCACTCACTCACTCTCTCTCTCCCTTTCGATATACATACATCGATATGTAAATAGAGAGAGACATATGTATCTTATATATCCCTCCCTTCCCCCTCCCCCTTTATCTTCCGATCTTTATCTATCCCTCTCTCCCCTCTATTTCACTTGTTAGTTCCCTATAAAAGGAAAACAAGCCACATAATCGCATAACTTGTTTATGCATCATGTTTTTTGTTAGAACATAATAGGAAAATGGATAATAGAAACCATCATTTCTTGAGTCGGGATTCATAGAATATAGAACGTGAATATTACATATTCTTCGTCGAAGGACTTTCCTAGAATATGGAGAAAGAAAAAATGCTAAGCCGTTCTTATCACTCTCCGAGACGCTCTCAAAACCATGCCAACCATTAGTGAGTTCGACAAAATTTTGATCTCTTGATGACCGAGGAACGTGAAATACCCCGCCGACATGTTGAGTCTACCTTACGGAGCTTCTCGCGACTCCCGTAAGGGTGTGGAGTGAATTACCCATCATGCACCGATATTGTACCTCTGTAGGACCCCCATAGCCGAGACACAACGAGTATTTAAAAGCGTATAATAAAAGCCTGTAAAATATGCTCTGAAGAGGAAGGGAGAACGATAGAGAGAGAGAGAGAGGAGAGAGAGGGAGGAGGTTTACTCTCCGTGGGAACGATAGAAGGGTGCACTACGCCGAGCCTGTTACTAGCGCCTGACCGACTATGAAGATGTTGTCAGAGCATGAAGAAGATCTCTTTCTGCACTAGCTTGACGTTATGCATTGTGTCAGCTGCATGTGTAGTACCGAACTTATTCAGCAACTCATGCACATCCCATGTCTTATACCACAATTAAGACGAAGTAATAAGCAGACACAAGGGAAACCTAATATAGGTCCAGCTTTACCTTTAAAGGAGAAGAGATAGAGAGGTTATGGCGCCACGCTAGCCTGCCAATTTAAGGCCAATGAAACAGCCACCTTGAATTCGCACATTTTCTTGACGAACCCAGAGGGTATTGAAGCTGCATCATACACAAAGAACGAACCGACATCATATGCATTAAACAGGGCCAGTTGATGCGCTGCAGTAGGTAGTCTTCGCATGTGAAGCATACCCATGTAAGGCAATGTTCTTCCATCAATAAATAGACAAGAACGGGAAAAAATTGAGCCGCAATTACAGCAAATACCAATCGAAACGGGGTTCTATGTAACATATGATGCCCGCAAATGAAGGTGCAAGCAGATCTACTTAGCAATAACTACGCAACCATCACAAATGGCGAGCGAGAAAGAGGGTTCAAGAAAGTATAGAAATAGAGAAGAAAGGAACCTAAAACTGCAGGACAATCATTAAAGCATCGTAACGAGTCCCAGGCCTGGCCTGTCGCACGGCGTTGGATGTACATTCATCTGGCGAAACTAGACAGAAACAATATAGAAAAGAATATAACAAGAGGATGGAGAAAATAAACTTTCTAGTAATCCACCGAATCTGACACTAATGTATTGGCTTTATGAGGAGAATTCAAACAAAACAAAGTGCTGAAACTGATGCAGGCTCTTCTAAAGCGAAGCATAGGCTCTATATATCTTTATAGAATCAATATGTACAGCTCATGGATAAAACTTGAACTCAAGGGATTTCAATGTCAAGGGAAGCGTAACGGAAAAAATTAGATGGGTAGTTGAGATACAGCAGCCTCCGCTTCAATCTCGAAGCTTAGTTCTCTCAACGAAGAGCTTCGCTCCTCTAGCACAGCGTCAGTGGGAATTGTAGGCGGTGATCATCTTAACGCGAATGGAGTAGACAGACTTTCTCTTCACTTCGTCTCCGTCGTCTTCATCTTCAGCATCCTTTTCGTCTGTCCTCTTTCCTCCCCTTCTTCAGGGTCCTTGTGGCGGGAAAGGCATATTTCACATCTCCAAGTCCAGGGACATCGGCTGTTTACCTTTCCTCGGCGACTCGACCGTCTCAGATGACCCAAGCCTGAACTGGGCGGGCGGTAGTAGAGGCAGCCGGGGGCTCTCCACCGCTACAGCGTCCTCCTCCGTACCAGCTTTCGACGGAGAGGTATCCAAATTCACCCCAAAGAGCCTCACCCGCTTGGGTGTCGCGTTGCCTCGACCCATCGTCACTGAGTCGAAAACCATGGGAACGCCGAGTCCGGTCAATCCCCCATCGCCGCCGCCTCCATAGCCGCTGCCGACACCGAGTTGCACTCCAACCTGGGAAGTGGACCCCGCCGATCTCAGGTACAAGTATGGGTTAGACGTCGCGGCAGCAGCGGCAGCATTGTAGCCGTAGCCCGCTTGTCGGCTGTAGTCGTACACCTTCAAGGCTGATATCGCTGACGTTGGCGGCGGCACCGCGAGGTTACTCCAGGGAACGACGGAGCGGGAAAATGACATAATCGATGAGGGGTCGTGGTGGTGATAGCCGGCGATCGGGAGGCGAAGGAGACGAGGGGGATCGTGGGCAGCGTCTATGCGGCGCTTCCAATCGATGAAAAGGCGGTCTCGGGCTGCCTCACCTACGCCGCGGCCGAAGGAGACGGTGTCCCCGGCGTCGAGGCGCTTTTCCTTGACGAAGCGGCTCCAGCCCTTGGTCATGACGTAGCTCTGGCTGCTGTTCCAGTAGGAATAGCGGAAGCGCCAGGGCTTGCCGGTGCGGTCCTCGAAATTGAGAAGCATGCCCTTGTCGTTGGTGGAGTCCAGGGGGAAGTACCTCTCAGCGTGCTGTTTAGGGATGACCAACCGGTTGAGCTTTCCCACGTCGCTGGGAGTGACTACCTTGTCGAACATGTGCTCCTTCTCCACGAAGGGGGCTTGAAGGGGCTGCTGCTTCTCGGCGCCGCCGATGTTGCCGCTGCCGACTGATGAGCGGTTGGTATCCGGAAATTCCATCTGCTGCGGCGTCCAGTGGGCTGAGGATGAACAAGGAGGGGGAGGAGGATGGACAAGAGAGAGGTAGTGATACGGGGACTCCGGCTCTTCTTCCTCTCTGGAGTGCCTGTCTCTTCTTACTTGTACAGACTCCATCTGTTGTTATATCGAAAGGCTGGTTCGTAGAATTTAAACTTCCAATGCCCTGATTCAGATCCCCTCTCTCTCTCTCTCTCTCTCTCTCTCTCTCTCTCTCTCTCTCTCTCTCTCTCTCTACCTCTCTCTCGACCTATCTCTCTACCTGTCCATGAGAAGATAGAATGAAGGGGGAAGGTCAGGATTTTAGGGCCCGGGGGTGTTTCCGTGGCTTCTTCTTTTGACTGGGCACTGGAGACGAAGAACAGGGGTGTTCTAATTGACCTGCAATAGAGGAGCCTGCGTGGGCTCTGACAGAACGGCAGCCTCTCTTTGTTTATGGGCGACGTCCTTGGAAGGTTCCCAGAACGGGATTCTGGGAGAGTCTACCTTCAAGTGGAACAAGATAACCTCCCCTTGGAGACGAAGACTTGGAGAGAGAGAGAGTCAGGATGGAAGATCTGAAGCTTTATAAGGACCCCCGGGGGCCGCCGCGGAAGGGGGGTGGGAGGGTTGGTTGGTCGGTGACGAGAGGGCCTATGAAGTATCTACTTATGCTCATGTGAACCTGTCGTCTTCACCATTTTCTTATTTATATTGGCTCGCGATCAACTCCATAAAGCCAGCTGCTATATAGCGCCGATCTGTGATTTATATCCTAAGAATAAAGTATTACATTCGCTCAATAATTAGAAAACGTTACCCATCTTAGTCACGCCCCATGCCATCAATGTCCATAGAAAGGATAATGATGAGAATAATCCTAAAATAAAAATGGGGAGGGAGAAGTTCAATGTTTTCATTTAATTATTGGTAGACATTACCTTTATTTTTACCAGCGGCAAGCAAGATCGAGATTAAATCTTCTCTGAAATTATGCTCAGATTAATCTATAAATTTTCTAACGCTCGTCATGAAAAAAAATTCGACACTCAAGAGACCGACACACACACGCACAACATGTCGTTGGGTCTTCCCAGCGCCGCGGGAAAGGATTCTGCTATTGAAAGAAAGAAGAGCAAGTCTGGGGACTTGGCAAAGATGTGATGTGATATACCATCGGAAGCACACATGAGAACTGCGAGGTTCATCCGTCCTATCTAATAGTGCGTCAGGAGATGGAAGACAATGAGGGCGGGAGACAATAGTTCAATAAGTATATGGGCGGCAGGAGCGGTGGCAGTGGGATGAGGTGAGGAGGCCGCAAGCAGCAGAACAAATGACCAATCATCGCAAGTGGAGCCAGGATAGATCGACTGACTGGTCAGTGAACTCACCTGCCATACTGCCCGCCCCAAGTCACCCTCTTCTTTCCAGCGTTCTCATTCTAAATGTCAAGTTAGCATCTAAGAAACCACGGGCAGCCCCTGGATTTCACATGCGGGAAAGGGAGTTGAGAACATGGTGTGTTCTGAATTTGTGGTGGTGAAAGGCCAGAGAGGAAGTGGTGGGGGGGGGGGCGCTCGTCGACCGTATTCCTCTGAAAACAAAAGGCCCAGTCTAATAAATACACACATGCGCGACGAACCAATCGATCTGGACGTGTGATGGCCGACGCGAGCTGGGTTCGAGCAGCGAGTCTTTAAAATCACCCCCCCACACACACACAATAATACGAGGCAGTGGTCCTCCTCTACTGCTACTGCCCCCGTCTCATGATCCCGCATTATTACAGCGAATTCATCATGCCCTACGCAGTGTGATTTAGCCGGGTGATTACCATGAAATATGGAGGAGATTAAGCTGGCCGAGATGGCGTCAGTGGGGAGAGGGTCCGTGAAGTTGTATCTCATTGGACCGTCGTCTCGCTTGAGCAGTAAACCCGGCGAATCACCGGCGTCTAATCCAGGTTGTGATCCGCATCCCCACTAAACCTAATCCGGCATCTCGCCATAACGTCTCTGCTAATGACCATGCCTTGTACGGCACTGGGTTATTTAATGGAACCCCACCGTCCTTGATCAATGGGTCGCCCCTGATCGATTAACCAGCCGGAGTCGATGGCAGGGGTGAGTTTCCCGAGGAAGGAGAGATGAAGCGTAGAAGACCAAGTGAGTCGGTTCGTCTTATCCTATCCCATCCCCCACCCCGGCCGTGAGCGCCAGACAAGAAGAAATGTACAGTAAGTTTGAACAGTCTCAGCTTGAGGGGGGTGGGGGGGAGATGGGTAGGATATTGGAGAGGAGCGTACGTGGGATTAATGCTGTAATACTGCATGGCTGAAGAGAAGATATTCTCCCGCTACCATCGTCAATCTGATCATTGAAGGTTTGTTTATTGGCGTCGGTAAATACAGGCGGCATCGACCAGGTTTTCATCATGGGACGCCAAACAAGGAAACACTTTCTGGCGGGAAATAGAATACGAGATTCCATCTCTGAGGAACCCCCAAGGGACGCCGGCCCGATAGGACGGGGCCACTCCGCGGGCATTCTCTTCCCCGCTGCGTGTCAGATTAGTTTAAGGCCAAGCACTAATGCTAATGGTCCACGAGCTGCACCTGCGGCCACATCACGGATTGCTTTTCCAGTGTGGTATAGCCACGAAGAGAGAGAGAGAGAGAGAGAGAGAGAGAGGGAGGGGACAGACAGGGAGAAGAGGGGACAGAGGGAGAGGGAGAGGAGGTAGGGTTTGCGGCATCAAAGGGCGGGGGTGGGTCAATTTTTTTGTTTTCTTTTGCTTTTTGATCCTGTCCTATTCCCATCGGCCGGGAAGGGGTGGGAGGGCAAGGGGTTCAACGTCGGTCGGTGGAGAGGACGACGATAGAGCGACCCGTAGGTCAGCGATTGTGAAAGCCAGAATTGCTGACGGGGGAGCCCACAGGACGGCGGCGAGGATCGGATCCTCCTCTCATGTGGTTCTTGCTGGCCCATCCGTGGCTGTCCACGCCGGAGGGCGAGGATAGCCATCGTGGGCTTACCCCCTTCACATGAGCCCGGGTGCAACTTGCAGTGGACCCCTCGCTGAAGGCGACAGAGCGGACGAGATCAGATCGGGGGCTCCGCCCGGTAGTCGCTGCTTCTTTATGTGGTGGGGGAGGGGGGGAGGCGGAGAACTAGAGTCGTATTTAAACGCCATTAAAACGCCTCCTGCTATTTGGCGACGGGCCCACTGGCACCGCCATGGCTGACGATCGGAGCAGTGCATGGGATGTAGGATGGACCACCTCCTCTACATCCCCCGTATACGCACATTTTCACTCGTAATAACGATAACTTATGGCATATTATTGACTTGAGTGGAATACTCGTGACTGATTGTTTGGTAGAAGGGTGTCATATGGGCAACGAGAGGAGGGATGCATTTAAATATAAGAAGCAATAAAGGATTCTTTCGATCACTCTCTTTCCTCGTAGGACTTAGTTTGGATATATCTACGAGCGTCGAGAACTTGCAGGAGGCCAAATGAGACCGTCGACTCTTGAGTCGCTACCTTGCTATTAGCACTTGGCAGGTGGGGGTGCACCCAGCTGTTTCGTTGGGGTGGCCCGGGGAGAAGGGGACCCCTCTCCTCTCTCTTTCTCTCTGTCTGTCTCTCTCTCTCTCTCTATCCCACCGCCTCCTAGATCATTTATACAGATGAGGACCCCGAGCCTTCCATTAATGTTGCTCGATAAATTGTATAAAGATTACAACTGTGCATGGTCATTTGCTAGCCCATCCGGTATTATACTAAAATATATGCCTGCTTGTACAAAAATATACACAACTGTGTGACCTAGGACCACAGTCCTTAAAAAATTCAACTTCTTCCGTCCACTTCGTCCCCCTAATTCTTATCTTGGCTTTTCTCACGCCTCTCCGTTCCCCGTGGCCTCCCCCAACTCTCTCTCTCTCTCTCTCTCTCTCTCTCTCTCTCTCTCTCTCTCTCTCTCTCTGTGCGCGAGTGTGAATATATCGTCCAGTGTATGGGCCTTTGTCTGACAGCCTTCCTTTTATCCCTCCTCCTCCGACCCTATTCCTGACAGAAGGCCTAAAATTCCCCCTCAATGCTACCCCCTGCGGCTCCGATCCTCGTGGGCATGGCTAACGAACTGCACAGCTCCCCGCCCCATCCTACGATTTCACCAGTACATCCATCCGCGCCCTCTCCCCTCCCCCGGCCGCAATCGAAACTGTTTTCCCCAGGAATGGCATTAATTTCTCCCCTGCAACTATCGACGCTTCGCATAACATATACGTCTGTGTTTTCAGGTCCCGGACAGACAGACAGAGAGAGCGAGAGAGAGAGGCGGTAGGATGCAAATAGCTAGCGTGCGGGAACAGCCAAACAATTCCTGCGCTTGGAAAGCGTTACACGGGCATGTTGTACACTCCCCCCTCTCACCTTGTTTCCCTTAGCTCCCACTGCTCTGGGCAGGAACCGTTGGAGCGTCCCTGTCACGTCGCTTTCCGCTCCCTTAGCGAGCGAGGCGGGAGAGGGGGAGAGAAGTAACTAGACAGGCGCGTTCATAAATTTTACTGCTACCTCACAGCTTCCATCTGTCCCCCCCCCCCACCTTTGTGATCATAAATCCATGTGAGGTGTTAGATGATATGATAGTACGCCCGCCCCATGTATGTATCCGTGCATGGTGGGGCGGTCTATCCAGCTTGACCTTGATCCCACGAGCTGTACCCTGACCTATTTAGCACACGTGATGAAGATATTGCGCCGGGCGGCTGGCTCTCCTCCGTTAAACCCTACCCACCGGGTAGCAGTTGATGGGCAGCAGGATGAACTTAAAAACCCCAACCTTCTCCTCTTGTCAGCTCTTCGACCTCCGTGCATTAGCTTGATATCGTCTCGTGCCTTGCAGAGGAATGGGTTGGGGTTTCAGGCGCGATCCATGCGTATCCTAAGGTTTCGATGCATGGCTTTCCGTAGCCAGCTATGGCCGACAGATGTGAGGTGTAGCTGCCGCCTGCCCTCCGCATTCCCCCCCGGTTAGGATGTTGCCTCTGTCTTGCTAAGGCCGCTAAGAATCATAAGGACGCTGCCCCTCATGAGGCCGCCTCTGTCGGCCTGAGCCGCCGCCGACCATCGATGTAGGCTGGTCCCTCGGCTCCGCGGACGCTTAAAGATCGTTCATGAGCGCCCCGGCATAGGCGTAGTCCCCTCGGAATAAAGCTGGACCCAAGCTCAGCTCTACCTGGGTTGGACGTCAAATTAAAGCCCATAAAATCAGGCCCCTTTATTCTGGCCCAATGCGTACTCTCTCTCTCTCCCTCTCTCTCTCTCTCGCTGTGAAGGGCAGCCTAGGCCTACCCTATCTAAGGTGGGGCCGGGCTTCATAAGGTCCGGCACTGTAGAAGTAAGGCGCATACATGAGCTTTGATGACGATTGTTCTTGCAACATCAAAGAGGAGAGAGAGCAAGTGGAACCAAACTTGAAAATACCTACAGTGCCTTCACCTTTGAACGTTTTCCAGCAGGAGTCACACGCTTTCCTCAATTAATTGCAGGGAACAGCTGTGAACCAGCTACACAGAGAAAAAATTAAAATCAAGAATAAATCAGATGAATGCTGCACAACACTCGAGAGGGTTCAATCTGATGTTTCTCACTATATATGTGAAGCTTACACAAAAGATCCAAGTTTTTTCTCTTTTTTTTTTTTTCATTGTACAGTTTTGGGTAAGTTCCCGGCAGAAAACCACAGAACTTCACTGCTTCAGTTTCTATCTATAGGGATTTTGTGTTCTTGGGAGAAGACTTCCAAAAGCCAGCAAGATATGAACATAGAACATCGGTCAGTTTCACCATGTCAGTTCCTCCTTCAGCACATGCTCCCAATCAGATGAACCGTAAGGAAAACCTACAAAATGCCCCCCTGACCAGCTCCCCAGCACACGCGGGTGGTTCCCCGGCTCAACCCCGCTGTTGGAGTCGAAGTCCACTCTCGAGACAACCTTGCCACCCGATGGCCCCCGGTTCTCGATAACGAGTGAGCTTGGAAGCCCATGAGGCTCTTCTGCGTCAACAAGATTTAATCTCTCGATGCGGCCCTTGAGAACCCTAAATCTGTCCATGACAGACGGATCAACATCATCTGTTATGTGGTCAATCCCAGATGAGATCGCCGGCTGAGGTTCCAAGCTCTTGGCTTCGTTTCCTTGATTTCCTGAAGACGAAGTGCTCTTCAACAAAACACCTCTCAACCTCAACGCTGGGATGCTTTCACCCACGAGGGGATCTCTTGGACTCTGGCCCAATAATTTCGACGGCCCCCATCCTGTATATAATGAGCCACGATAATCGGTAATGTCAGCACAGGCTGTGATCCTACGAGAAATGAATCTCCATTCAATTGTCCTCACCTCCTCTGGAATGACGTTGACGTCTATCCATCACGAGATCTGATCTTAAAGCGTCGAGCTTATGCTTCAGCTGATGTACTGCATCTTCTACCTCAAACCACAGGTTCTCAGACGTTGTTGGTTGAGAATTCTCCCCTCGATCGTCCATTTTGCCTTGTCTAGGCTCCTCAAACTGCTGCAGAACTCAGAAAAGTGGCAAATATTAATTCAAGTCGCACCAAACGCATCCCAAATGACCCTTGTGTCAATTCATACTACCGTTTTACGACTTACACTACCCACGTTATAGTGCCTGGGATGCATCTCTCCCTGACCAGGACAGTTGTTGCCCTGGTCCCTGCTCCCATCAATGTATCTCGAAGCCGGAGAAGGAAATTTTCCCGCTGGAAGATCCTGAGAAAGAAAGCTCAGGCCACTGACTAAAGGAAAAAAAAAAAAACTCAAACAGGAAAAGGACGATCTCATACACGGAGGTCACAGATAATCTTGAATGAATCAAGAAGAGCAGGACCTTAACAAGAGTTCGGGCATTTTATTAAGATTTAGATAACCTTAACAAAGTCAGACTAGCAAAATAAAAGCCTCCAACTGGAGTTTTCAAAAGGGTCAAAGGTGAAAAAGAGAAAATTTACAGCACCTTGGTTTATTTCAGAAGTTCATATAGGCCTTAAGTTGGAGTGCATAGAACTTCTGAACGGATCAGGTATAGGTTGAGAATTTTCTACCCTTATTCTGTTCTCGATAACCCTAATCAATCTAGAAGTGCTTTTGTCCAATCTATCAATCTCTAATAACAGACAATAGTAATAATGCTGAAAACACCTGAGATTTTTGAGGAAGCAAACTCAAACATGTAAACCTCCCCCAAATGACATAAAGGTGATTTCATGGAGATTGGGTAAGGTCAGAATTGTGAGAGGGAACACATCTTTTGAGGATCAGTTCAATGAACTTGGCGCTTCCCCTAAAACGGGTATTTTCAAAATTTTCAAGAACAAAAACTGGACATCATTCTGAATTAGATGCATTTGATTATCAAAAGGATCCTTGATAGACAGCCGGAGTACACTTGAAAAGGGCATATAATACATTAAAAAAATTGCAGTAGCAATCTAATGTGTTGATGTCATGATAAGGTAGAGGCTAATGCTCATCAATATGTTCAAGACATACGATCTGATCAACCAGACGCACATCTCATGGTGAAAAACAGATGAACCGTAGTGACGTGTGATTATTTTTTTACATCAACAATCGCATAGACGACTGCCAGAAATTGATGGAAAAAGTTTATGTGGCTTCTATGAGGGGAGAAAACCATGGCAGGGAATACATCAACACCTATGATCTTCGTTCTAATCACTCAACTGATAGGATGCCTGTCAGACATACCTGGGGTTGCTCAACGAAGATTCCACAACTCTGAGCAGAGATGAACCATCTACGGTGTGCTGATGACACATTATCCTCTTACCTGGAAGGTTTGCTCCTACAAACTCAGTGCTGATGTACTTTCCGCCATGTTAATGCCTGGGGTGACGAGTTTGAAGAACACAAATAGGATAAGCTTGATAGACTTCGAGTCTAGAGAGGTGTGGGAGCTGAGAGAGGTTGGCGTGGAAACGGGGGAGAGTGAGAGGGGAAGATAAAAGCAGTGAGACAATAGACAGATAGACATAAAACCTGGATACCAGATCTATCTAGTAGAGAGGGAATTCATTTCAATATGCCCTAGAGTAAGGATAGGCTTTGAGCTTTTGAAAATGAGAAAAGAATTTTGCTCCTTAATCCTGAGGTAGGGCCTTAGAATGATCAACAGCATCTTGTGTAGGCTACAAAGACATTTTATTGAGGCTCTTTTCCGAGAAGTCGTTGACCGCGGACTATGATATTCATGTCTTTTTGCACTTAATGCATACGTGAGTAAGCGTATACCTTATGATGCTTTCACTGACGGCAACACACGTTCCGTATGTACCAATGGATTATGGACCGCAAGTGGCATTGAGTGTACTAACACAAAATTGAATATTTTGTGGATTCATATAAAGTGCGTAGCACATAAAATCTACAGATAAAATGCTTCTCTGATGAACAGAAATGACAACAAATACAGACCCAAAATATTGAATTTAGGTCGCCGTACCTGGGAAGGAGAAGAGAACTCTTTATGAGAATAACTGACAGAACAACAAGATGGCTCAGGTCTCGTCCTACCCAACTCGATCTTCTTTGAAATACAGATGCCTAGATTGTTAACTACTGACTGCAGAAGCTCTCTGTCGTGTTCTTTCAAGACATTTGCGTCAGAATGGCAGGTTGTTAAAAGTAAACCTGATAAATTATGAATTGTTTTAACAAGAAGTTGGGCATCGATTGGTAGAGTTGGACTCATAAATGAAGGATCAGAAATCGATGGCGATTTAACAGTCTCGTCACATATGTCAGCAACAGTCTTGGATGCAATGGAGAGCTGATCTGTATCAAGATCACGGAAACCAAATGGAACCCCGAGAATAGGGTAAGGATCTGTACTCTGGTTGGCAATTTCAGTGACTAATTCTCTGCCTGAAGAACCACAAATGTCCTCATTCAGTGTCTGCACAGCATTTTTATTTTGAGATACAAAACAATTTCTGTGATCTTTCGAGCAGGAGATATTATTCCCAACTTCTCTAGGGAAACAAGAGAATTGAGCAACTCCCCCATTATCAGTGATTGAATAATCTGATCCTCTTTGAAGAAGGTTGTCAAATATTCTGCCTGAAAAGGCATGGTTAGCAACTCCAGTATCAAGAGTACTAAATTCAGGATGTTGAGAAGATGATGCTCCTTTCCAACATGGTGAGTCCACTGCAAGATGTTCATCAAAAATCTCAGAGGAGACTTTCTCAGTATCAAACGATTCCACGGCGCCAAGAGTTTTTGAATCCGCAGTTCTTATTTCGGAGTTTCTATCAAGTGCGCAGTCCTTGGAAATCTGATTTGCTGACTCAATGCTTGGAGGTGATGTTATTTTCACCGAAGGAGAATTCGCAATTGTATTATCGCTTGTATCCATAGCTTCCATTTTCTTAACCTTAGAATACTCATGTTTACTTTGAAAATTCAAATTACTAATAGCATACTTTGGCCTGATTAATACATGTCCTGTCTTTTCCAGGCTTTCTTCATATGTACCGTGCTGAACACACCTGCTCATTGATGCATCTGTAGTGTTGCCAATTGTGGCAGATATCTTGCCAGGAAAATATGGTGTAACTTTGTGAAAAGTTATTGGGTCAGTTTTCCGTGTATCAACTTGAGCAACGTATCTGTTAGCAAAAGAATTAGAATCATATGCCTTGCTTCCTTCTGAAAAAGTCGCTTGGCCTGATGAGTGTGGATAGCAACCTTCAACAGGAGCACTAGGAGACACGGGTGATATTCCTGACAAACCGGAAGAAATACCAGCATTTTTCTCCTCACCTAACAGATCTAAATGCTCACAGTTGATGCGATCCTTCCCAGACATATATTCATAATCCTTCCCATGCCAGCCACCATGTAGATCTCCGTATGCTATGACAGGAGCAGTAGAGGCAACTTATTGTCAACGGAAAAGATGAAAAAATGGTGGGAAAGTCATGTTTTGGCATCACATATGCATCAAACGTTAATAATACTGGAAAAGCACTTCTAAGATACTTGAAAACAGATTGACAGGATGGAAGGCCAAACGTCTTTTGGCAGGTAAAAAGGAGATAAGCCTGGATCGCTTTCATCTAGCTCAGATATTTAGCATCTCTCAATCGTCAAAATCGCAAAACAGTGTTAGAAACTCGACCATCTAAGGCCTATGCATTTTTCAAAGCCCACCATAAAGGAGATGTCAGCTGGTTTGATATGAGAACTATGCAGAAATATGGACAGACATGCTGGTCTATTCCCTCAGAATCAGTCAGCATGACAAGTTGGCTAATAAGTTGGCATTGGAAACCAAACTAACTGGTGAAAATTACATGGAATGTTTTACGCGTATAATTATTTCCTATTTATTACAATCTCAAGCAACCAGGATAGCAGTGATTTTTTAAATAAACATTGGATTAAACATGAACATCATGTTTCGCTGAGATCTAAGAGAAAGCTGACATAACTTCTATAATTCGCTTATATGACAAGCAGCACCGGGCTAAATTAAGATTAGTGGCGTGCATGTGACCAAGGGTACGACTGTGCATAAGGCAACAAGGGTTTAGTTTGATCAGGGCGTGTCTCATGGAACAAGGGAAAAAACCTAACCTACTAAACTCAGAAGTCGCAAAAGAAGACTTTTGTGTTGAAGGAATTCAAAATAACAGTTGATAAGAAACCAATTTACACCATGGCATGTACTTTTTAGACATTCAAAATAAACTATGTATCAACTGTTTCTGATTACTCAATGATCGATATGTTCAACTTTCGTTCAGAACTATCAGCCGAACTAGTCGTTCAATTGTTGCATATAGAATTGAAAAAGGGGAAGGTAAATCAAAAAAGGCAAGTGGAGCTAAGAAATATATCTTTGAATGATATAATCTGAACGATAAGGCAACAGTAAAAACGATTGCATCAACACAAGAGAATCCAGGCTTCTCTTTGCCACTACCTAGCAGAGTACTTTCTGTTCACACTGTCCAAATTTTCCCAACAAATATCTCAGGTTAGATATTCTCCTTTGCCAATGTTAGTATATGAAGATCGTATATTTGAATTGTTCATTAAGAGCTAACAAAAACGAGATGATGATATTTATTAATTCTACACCATTTATAGAAATTTACCATTCATATTGAACGGTTAGTTTTCCCTGAACTTTATGCAATGAATGGAGATCTTGCCAAAGAAACATAATGCTAATTCAGCAGGAATTAAATCCAGCTATATGAAGCAATTATATAGTTGGCCGTATCAGATAGCCAAACAAACTCAAGAAGCATTACATTGATACAAAATGCCAATCCAGATCAGAAAAGCTCTATGGAAAGTGAAAAGTTACGATTAAAAACTTCATAATGGTCTTGGTAAAATACCAAGCATGTCAACCATAATACGAACAGAAATTCAAGCATAGAATGTACGACCAATTTCTGGAAGATCATACGATAGGGAAAAACAAAAAACGACACCTTGCTAAAAGGAATGTAGAGAAAACATTATTAAAAAATGAATACAAACTATTACTTTACCGTCAACACAGTTCAGTCATAGACATGCAGATAGAATTTTAGACCTCACTTCGAAGTGGCCTTACATGTTGAGTGATATAGGGGAAAAAACGCTAGTCTCGGTAGTTGGCCAGCAAAAAAGAAGACAAATTTGATAACAGTAGAAGAATGCAACCATTTTCTCCCAGGACAATTACTTTATAATTTAGGACTTCATTTTATTTTGAGTTGGCTCGATTTAAATTTGAAATCATAATCTTTTTGCCTTCCAAATTCTAACCATCCCTTACTCCATTGTCATTTCAGTTATTTGTCGCTTTTCGTTCAAAACGTACAGTTTTTCGTTCGTCAGCATACCTATATGATTTTGGCTTACTTCCATGTTAACTAAGTTGTCCAAAATTAGATATCAGCCCCCCAAGGTAAAAGCCTTGCTCCCAGTCCTACCAACCAGTAGACCTTACTAGATCTATCTTTATCTCTAACTGGTTTGTTTCGAGATTAGGATCATACTTACACTGTAGCAGAACAATACTTAAAACTTTACGTCTTCCAAAATAAACACATTGTTGATGATGGTTACAATACTACATTCAAACAATGTGACTCATACCATCCGCCTCTTTATCATCTAGCCTGATAAGTTTACATGGACATCAGCAGAGGCACGAAGCAATTCACACCCCTAACATGTGGTTGTAGAGACTAGAGAGAACTCACCAAAGCAGATAGCTGCAAGCGAAAGAAGACTTTCAGGCGACAATAATATCTGGTCGGCTCTAACAAAAAGCCACCATCCAAAGAAACTTTGAAATAGATTCCACATCCCTCAAATTACATGTCATTTTTCAGCCACCGAATTTTCAGATACACTATCAACCTTTCATAAAAGATGAGCCGACGGGACTGTAGTTCATCAAATAGTGTACCCCATTAAATTAATATGTTAGAACTTGGAGCCTCAAAATCCGCTGCTCTACAAGAGTACACGCACAACATGAATAAAAATGCGTCAGACTTGTCTTAGGATTTCGAGCAGTAAGCAGTAAACATGTCAGAATGTTGGGAATCTTTAAAGCGCACGGTTTAAATTCCTCTGAAATTCAATAGTACCACTTTATGATGGCATGTCTTGCTTCGTCCAAAAAAAGCAAAAACAAGCTATGAGCCACATCAGTGGTCTGCACCATCACCACTTTCCCTAATCATCAAACACGACAGTTTGTAAGTGAAGATGAATCATAGTAAAAAGAAACAAACAATCAGTCAATCCTCAGACACAAGGACTAGAACCCCCATCATTCCTTTCACCAAGATGCAGCCTAAGTGGCACCATTAAGATGTTCATTCAGAAGTTGTTTGTAAAAGGCTATGTCATGTAGCTGGTTAGAGGATAAATATTTACACATTGCTACATATCCATGGAAATGCGACTGTAAACAATGAAACAATGCATTAGTTAGCGGCTTGTATTTCAGTTCAAATTTTACCTGAAAGGTACAATGGAGAAAGTCACTTACTCCTATCAACCTTGCATCTTTCTTTTATTATTTCAGGTCTTTCATACAATAAGGTCAATGGTAGTGTCTCAATGTAGCTTGGAAAAATGGGGAACATCGCAGCTGATCACAATGACCACACGTAACCAACCACCAGGGTCCCGCTGGGGAGAGCTGCTGGTGCTAGATATATCGTTCTCAAGTTATCCGAGAGAGAAATCATGTCACGGTGTTCCTTAGCGAGCTGTAGCTGTAGGCCTAACCCGACCCCTCGAACAAACCAAAAATCACGGACGGGATAAGTTTCACAGAGGTAAAACCTATTGGGCATAAAGTGATCTCTGAACACAATACAAACGCCCAGGAAATCGATTTGTATCCTTCGACTTTTCATTCGGCAACAGTACGTTGGTTTATGTACCCAAGGAAATTTGCCGTCTATGATCAAAAAATAAGTTTCCAAAGGCACATGAAACATTTAAATTTTGCAATAAATATAATATTTCTAATGTGCGCGATTTATGGAGAAATTGAGTAACCGCAAACGGAAACCATATCCTCACCTTCCGCCCACAATGAGGTTCCACCCGCGCCATCCGCTTCCATCCCCATGTCAAACGGTACACTAGGCAGGGGCACGCCCCGTCCCAAATGGCCGGAGCCTCTCGGGGATCCGTCCCGGCGGTCACAATCAAGCGACTGCGTACCACCACCGGATGCCGCAGCTGGCGAGAAGAAACGGGGATAGTATGGCTCCACATGAGCGAGATTGATACCCCGCGGGGCGATAGATTCTCCAGAAGACACACGACCAAAACCAGGGGCTGCAGGGTTGTGGCCATGCCCGAAATACGACACGGAATCGGCGGCACCGGACGATTTATACGCAGCCCGAGCGTGGGAGGGAGCCAGAGGAGAGGGAGGGCAGAGATCGAGAGGGCTCCCGGAGCAAGGGTTCCCCTGAGACCAGGAAGAGGCATAGGGATCGTACGGCAACGAGGGTCGAGGCCCACCGCGGTCCACAGTGAAGGGCGGCGCCAGCGGCGACAGGGTGGAGGAGGAAACTGCATGCGAGGCGGCATGGTGGCCATGGGATGTACCTCCGAAGTCCATCGTCGCGGCGAGGAGGCGCAAGACGAGGAGAATGCAGCCGCAGGGGATCGATTCCCGCCCCCAACCTCCAGAGAAAATTCAGTGCAACCCAGAGGAATAGTCGTTCGTACATGTCGGGCGGGGGCTATAAAGTCGCAGGTTTCCAAGTAACGGATTTCCATTAGTTTTCATATTTCTAGGACCTTTTTCATCCGAGTTTTTATTTTATTTTATTCTCTGCTTACATGGCCATTAACCTTGCTAACATTAGCTAAAGGACTAATACATGCGAGGCATCGTCTCTCTCTCTCTCTCTCTCTCTCTCTCTCTCTCTCTCTATATATATATATATATATATATACATTCGTCGTCTATTTGTCTCAAGCTCCCTCTCCTCTTAGTGAAGCCAAATCCATTATTAATTATATATAATAAAATACACACGATTTACAAAGTCGTGTTTCTCAGATATTTTGACACAAAAACCATGCTTGTGGCTTTTTGAATTATTAATAAATATAAAATTTTACTCAGAGAAAACTCAAGTAAAGGAAGAGTAAAATCATGGAAACGGGGCGCCACGCAGATCAGCATGTCTAAGTGTCATGAACATTCGAGAGACACCAAGAGATTATGGCCATAAAAGCCGAGAATATCCAGCTAGTCAGGTGCTGGGAAGAGTTGACTTCGCCAGGAGGCTTCTATGACGACGGCGGCGGGGCCTTCGGAATCGAAAAGTTGACTATTTCAATGGCCGATATTTGTAATAATTGAAGGCAATTATTAATCGTGTGGAGGAAAAATTTAAAACCTCGGTTTCCCCCCGTGGATAAGTAGGATATTTGGAGGGGGGGGGGGGGGGGTTGACTGGATAAGATCGAGGGGTGCAGCAGGGACCAGCTAAAGACGGCGGGAGAGCGGCGGTGGCACGGGTGAGTTGCCCTAACACGTGTCTTGCCCCGTACTTCCAAGTCCGCAACGGCAGGCCGGAGAAACCGGCGGCCGTTCCTCCCAAATCCACCCTCCCGGCCAGCCCCAGTTTCAGTCTGTTGCGCGATTAGAAAAGAAAGCCGTATCTTCCGGATTATGCGCTTGTGAAGAGTTGCTTTAAATAGCCGGTGAAACCCACCGCCGTGACCTAAGCTGGAGCAGAAGGAGAAGAAGAAGGCTGACGGCGTGAAGAAGGAGAAGAAAGAGGAGAAGAAGAAGATGATACTGGTGTCGGTGCTGGCGGATCTACTGGAGGAGTACATGGTGCTGGTGGCGAGGGTGATGGAGCAGATGCTGCACGACGCGCCCTTCCCACGGCGGATGAGGTTCCTCATGCTGCGGAGCCTCCCCTTCACGTCCCCTCCCCGGTCCCTCCACCCCCTCCCACCTCCGTACGCCGTCACCGCACGGGCCGCCAACCGTTGACTGCCGGCGGCATGGAGGCGGTGGGTACGGCTCGCCCGCCTAGATTTAGTTGGTCCTCCCCCGTATTACCCTATCTGCCTGTAAATCCTCCAAACTAAGATCGGATTTCCTCGGCTGTCGCCGCCTCCCTCCCATTTCGTGCGCAAGAACTCCACTTTCTGCGTGATCCATCGTCCCTTCCTTCTTGCTGCGGTCTTCCTCTCGGCGTTCTCCCGTGGGTGACGGAGGAATCGGCTGGGTTTTCCCCGAGTGCTCCAGAAGCTTCGACTGGCCGCCGGCGAGACGCCTTCCATTAATGAGGCTACCTCTGACTGGGCCCAAACGGGGGCTATTGACTTTTCTCCTCCCATTTGGCCCGGCTATGGGGTTGACTTATCAAAACGGGTAAATTACCTCTTCTTTTATTGCTCAGCGTCAAACCCTACCCTATATAGGTTAAACGATTTTTTAATTATTTACATAAAACCATAAATATATATGTATATAAGCATGGGTCAAATTACTTTAGTATTTAGTTTGTTCGAGAGATATTAGTCCAAATATTGTTCCCTACAAGAACATTATTAGTTTCATCAAATGGATTTTCGATCACTAACCCTCTGTGTCCTTCATCGGGGAAGACTTTTCAAACTTTTTAGGAAGTTCAAAAAATTTAAAGTTAGAACTATCTTTAAGATAAGGTAATATCTTATCCCAAAAATGAAAGCATTCTCTCTTGACTATTGATATTCCACTTTTTAATTTATAACTTGTATATATCATTAAATAATTTAAAATACAAAAAAATGTCAATATTGAGGGGAAAAATGTGTAAAGTAATATGAAATAATGTGATTTTTTTCATGCACCAGGTTACCTACTTCTTCCCCATGTTTGGGACAAAGAAAGCAACAAATATCTTGGCCTATTAGTTACGGCTGATTTCCAGAAAAGAATGTACCTTTTTGTAAATACTTAGTTCATTCATTGCATAATCTCCAATTGATTGAGATCGATGGGCATATAAAGGTCATGGTGGGTCTAGGGCTTGGGAAGTCTAGTTGAATCTTAATCATCCTCTACAGGAAAAAAACCTTTTGAAAATAGCTTTGTCAAGGCCAAATAGTCCAAGCATTTACATATGCTCATTTGATAGAGGAAGAGAGTTATTTATACATTAATGATATTAGAATAATCATACGAAAAGAAAAAAATGGAATTATTCCTTTGAGTTGGACAACAACGAAGCAAAAAGTCTAGATCAGCCGTACTTCACTTTTGGGACAGATTTTGATACACATACACTGCAAAACGGAATAAAACCTAACCAGAGTTGTAGAGTTTCCCGCGCCATTGACACTTACATACAAGTTGAGACAAAGAATAGAACGCATGCTTTTTATCGCATTTATCGGCGCAACACAAGCGTTTTATGCAGGCTACTCAGTACTGTAGCTCCACGCATCTTAGGCCCCTTCCTCCTTCGGACAATCTAGATGACCCGACAAAAGAGTGCCAGAGGATAACGAATTAGAATCCCTTGATAAGTAAACAATTGCGGCCGCTCTAAAATATGAAGGTGTTGACAATATCCCGCCCCATTAGTTCTGCCGAGAATCACAAACGTTCATCCTTATCCTCTCTCTCTCTCTCTCTCTCGCTCTCTCTCTCTCTCCACTTTCATAGTTATAACCATGTGAGAGATTTTCAACTACACGCAACAGACGCTGCCCCAAAGCTTTTCGTCCCAATATCGCAGAAAAACAGCCCGGTTATTCGTGTTCGTGTTCTTCCTTTTCTGTAGCACTGTGCATATGCTGATTCACCATCGGCTGGGATCCCCTTTCTCGTGTCTCCATGTACCCTTCGGAGCCACGTAATAGCAGCAGGCCACCACCCCTTTCAAAACCCACTCATTTTTTTAATGTTATAGTGTTAATACCCGGACTTAGGGAGTCACAATTCGGTTCCGTGGAAAAGGCGGCCCCAATATTAAATTAGAAAGGGAAGCATTGGAGGATAAAAGGTGATTGAGATCACTAACCTGGCATTAATTGCATTCCTCTCTCTTCAGTTCTTCAGTATGTATCCAAGTTTGGTTGGGAAAAAGAGAGAACGTCTGATAAAGTTTCATCTTTGTTTGGGCTTTTAAGGTTTGAAGCTCAAAATTAAAAGTTGAAAAAGAAAATAACCATGACATAACTATCTCACAATCAACTGCACAACATCCCATCTTCCTCTCTCTCACTCTGATAAGTACGTGTATGGGTGCTTGGATTTAGCTCAGTCTCGATCTATAGCTTTTGTTTTTAGTTTTTTTCTTTGGACCCGTATCATCTCCTAGTCTTGTAAAAGATTATTGGACTTGAATAAGCTTGGCCTGGGTCCTGCCCGTTTTACCCTTTAAAACCCATACATTCGAAATGTTTCAATAGATTTAATATTGAACAATCGATAAAACAGACTCCAAACAGTGTAGCTCGGCGTTTTCTTTGAAAAAAAATGGAAAAATTGACCGTCCCTTCTTTCGAGTCGAGAAGCATGTCTCGTGTTCGCCCGACATGCTTCCACAAATTACGTGGGGAGAAGGAGTCCGGCGTCTCCTCTAGGATTGAAGCATGGGATGTTAAAAAAATGGCAGCCTGCTGGCTTTCTCGTTGTTACATGCTGCGGGAGGCCGTGGAATATATCTTTTTAAATCAGATATTCCCCATATTATATGAACGGTTTAAAAATTACCGTCAGATGATCGAATATCGTGCTGTTAGAACGTGAGTGGAAGTTTACGATTGGTGAGTCCCAGAGGCTATCGGACCCGTGGTGAAGGATGGGTGGACAGAGAGGGAGAGAGGGCGAGAGAAGAGGAGGATAAGACTTAGCGGCTAAGCGATAACGCTGGAATAACTTTACAATTTAATGGGGGGAAGTGCATGTGAGCGATGTCGTTTAACAATATTTTTGCCTGCCTTTTGCATCCCATACACTTTCGTACAGCAAAACTCTCTCTCTCAGTTCTCTTTCCCCTCTGAGCCGTAGACGTTGCCTTTTAGATGTCCTTCATGTCAGATGAGAGAGAGAGAGAGAGCCTGTGGACCACCCACATTTTAGGGTCGTGGGGTCGGCCTTAGATGCCATTCCCCGAACAAGGTTCCTAAGTTATCTCTCTTGGTGCCTGAGATGAACCGCAGCTCAAGTTCAGAGAACATTGAGCGTCAAGCAAGAGGAGACCTGTCAAACCCAAAAAAGTGTGCAGAGAACATCTGGAAAATATTACACAGGAGAGTTTTATACTGAGGAAAGGGATGCCTTAGAGCAATATATTACTCTGGGTGTCTCCTTCCTCTTCTTCACCCCTCCCTCCCCCTCACTCTTTTAAGCTGTGGAAACCTCATTGCCAATGTTGACAACTCTGGGTAGAACTGTCGACGCCTTCCTGTCCAACCTTGGCAAACACCATCCCTTTCGCTATCGAGAGACCGACGGCAGCCGTGACCTCCGTCACCAACACCGCCAAATCTACTACCACAACATGACAAAGGCTCGCCCTCTCTCTCTACAGGTTCGTCTTCGGCACATCTGGGGCTTGCTCGGCTCTTCCTTCCTTTACTAAGGACAAAGACCTGCTCCGAACCGGAACTCATTCCTTCTTCAACTTGACCCCGAGAAGGAACCCTCCTCTCTCTCTCTCCCTCTCGTGTTGAGGCAAGTTGATGAAAGCTTTTCTCCAGGTTGTGGAGCTCAAAGTAAGGATGTGCTGCGAGGGCTGTGAGAGGGTCGTCAGGAGTACTCTACTGAAGCTCAGAGGTACACGAATCCACCTCGCGCGTCTTGATAGAAGCGAAACGAGAGGTGAGTCAATAAAATCTGACGGTGAATTCTGTGGTGTAGGCGTGGATTCAGTGGAGGTGGACTTGTCCATGGAGAGGGTGACGGTGACGGGTTATGTTGACCGGAACAAGGTGCTGAAGGCGGTGAGGAGGAGCGGGAAGAAAGCGGAGTTCTGGCCGAACCCCGACCTGCCGCTCCACTTCACGACGGTCAATGACTACTTCAGGGACGAGGAGTCGTTCAGGGAGAGCTACAACTACTGGCGGCACGGCTACAACGGGGACAAGCACGGGCAGGTTCCGGTGGCCCACCGGGGTAACGACCGCGTCAGCAACATCTTCAACGACGACGACGTCAACGCTTGCTCTGTCATGTGACGGCGCCGCCGGGAAGCTCACCACGGCAGCGCCCAGCGTATCTACGATGTGCGTGTGTTTTTGTGGGAGGGTCGTCCAAAGGTGGCATTATCTGTGTGTTTCGCGTCAATGAGCTCGGATGCTAGCGTCCTAATGTCTTTACCTCGGTGAGCATCGACGGAATATCAGATCTCGTAAAGAAAGAGGTCCAATTAAACTTGACAACTAATGGGTCATCAGTCTTGGTTCGCACGGCTTTGGCTGGAGGTCCCTGATGACCTCCCCACCCATATTCGAGTCGCTTTAATCTTTCTTTGGGTTTTTTGCATGTGATTAGCTCCTCTAAAGCAATCATCGCGGACCTAAAAACTCTCATGAACGAATGATTCGAGGAACAGCCAGATAAAATCGAGCGGCACATTAATGCTCTTCAGCGTTATATGGTCCGATTTCGGATGTTTTATAGGCCCACAAATTAGGTCAATGAGAGCTTGACTTGGGTTTTCACATGTATTTGACTTCAGGTTTGGGAACTTACGGATTTATCATTTCCATGTTCTTTTCCTCAGCTTAGGGTTTAGGTTTCGGACGTCATCTTAGTTGGAGGCATGATGTTCAGTGTAGTGGCCAGAGTGTTCTTTCTTTCCAACTCTTCATGGGCGACTGAAGCAGCGAGGCGTAAACCCAACATAGGGTCTCGGAGACTAAGTGATGCCTACTTTCAAAATTATTAAAAATATATATAATATATTTAATGAACGGTATTGACATTATAAATAAAAACATAGAATAATATAAATCAAGAATACATACGAATTTTTAAAGATTCGCATAAAATATGCATCCTAAATATATCTTAATAAAAACCAATAACTATCAATTTAAATCTATATTATCTGTTTGGTATGAAATTTAATATTTAATCATAAAAAATTAAGTTATCTATAAAAAGGCGCTGAATCAAACTTGATGAGCTATCATTTGTTTGGATGATGGCCTTTTCTTAAATGCTATTTGAAGCCATCCTTCAAGCCTTTTTTTAGCTCAAATCTGCTGATTTCATGTGAACCTCATGGCAACGTTTCTTTGTGAAACCAAAAGCCTCTCATAAGCACCATTTTCCTCTCATGTCGTATGTATGAATGCCATCTACATTACTCGCTCAATAAATACTTTAAAAAACTAGGAGTAGAGGATATGAGATTGAGATAAGAAACTTAGCGAAGTTCCACACGATCCTCAACCGAATTGAAATCCTTATCCTACAAGTTTAGAAGGAACAATTAGGTCAACAACTAGTCACGCAAATAGGTCTGGGCTGGTAAAAGTATTTCACCAAATATTCAGACCCAATTCACAAGCCCAAAGACCACAAAGTCATCTCATCACACAAGCTCCTCCGATCGCTGTACAAGGCCATGGCGGCGGCTCTTCACCTAACGCAAGCCCATGGACAACGGGAGCAGTCTCTTCCACGGCTTTCGGGTCTTATTTGGGCGTTCCTCGAGGGCGGCCTTCTCTGTGGTCCCCGGCACCGCCGCCTGCTCATCGCCGTTCCCCTCATACGTCTGCTCCACAGCCGCTGACTCATTCTGATATGTACTGTCAAGGTCCCAGAAACGGGCTTCCCTTCTCTTCTTCTTTATTATGCCGAGGACGTCGTCCCGGTTGCAAATTCCCCACACTGTCACCTTCTGAAGCTCGTAATCAACGTGCACCGAGTGTATCCCTGGAACAACCACACTAAAACGCGATTATAAGGAGAAGAAGGAGGGGGAGAGAAAGAGAAAGAGAGAGAGAGAGAGAGAGAGAGAGAGAGAGGAATACCTTTCAAATTGCTCAAGGCCTTCTTCACTTTCTTCTCACAGCCGTATGAATAGAGTGGGACCTTCATTTCCACGAGCTGCGGATGGACGTCTTTGGGCACCGGTGCAACTTGCGAACTCGCCATTGGAGGATGTAATCTCTGCCGCCTTGATATCGGCAGGCCACCTCGTCCTAAAGGAGCTGCAAAACTCGCGTATTTATGGTCTACATCAGAAGCTGCGTCAAGCAGTCGTAAAAGTGGAAAGGAGGAAAAAAATAAAGCCCGAAAGGCGCTAGTCTATTCCTTCCTGAAGAGGGGGCCCAACCTAAAAGGCTCCCCAGGGAGGTTGCCGATGGCTTCTCCTTCCTTTGTCCCTCTCAGCCTTTTCCTCATCGCACAGATAAAGCTGCATCACTCCTCGGGTTCTTTACTCCTCCTGGAGGCTTAGTTAGGCTCTTTAGGAATCCGAACAAGGCACCCCTGGCCTTCGGGATTCCTGGCGTGGTTCAACCGTCGTTTTCCTCGAAGAGCGCATTCCACATGGCTCTTCACTTCCTTGCGGTGGACACTCTTGGTTCCCCTCCCATGCATGCCCATGGCGCAGCTGAGGTATGCCTTAAACGAAAACGGCTGAGGGGGTCGTTGGTGGCTGTTGTTTGGCTTCATGCATTCCCATCAATGTAAGTCCCATCTATATAATTATTTTATTTTATTCATTATGTTTATCATGTGACCATGTCTATATGACGTGCTTGTTGACTTTTGTCCTTTCCATAGTGGATGATAGAAATGTATGCATAGTTTGAAAATAAACTCTCTCTCTCTCTCTCTCTCTCTCTCTCTCTCTCTCTCTCTCTCTCTCTCTCTCTCTAAGATTCTCCGTGAAATTATGGTTAATTTTATTTATCATCCTAAGACATTAAGTTCTCCCTTTTCTCGCGTCATTCCGATTATCTTGTAATACTTCCACCGCAAATATAGGGCTGGCGATACATTAAAACATGTATGGAAATCTACGACTTTTGAAATGGGAAATAAGACAAAACTAAGCCTACAAGGCTTGAACCATATACGTTAGGACATTAGAAAATAATACTTGATTATTTTTATAAATTTATTATCGAGAGCTACTATAAATTAGATTGTTGAGCCTGGTCACGCTGCGAGACACTTGGACCCGCTATTACGTGTAATCTTCCTCTGCGTTTTGGGTGAAGTTTTCTTCTGGGCATAGAACAGGGAGAATAAATCAAGCGCAAAGATGCAAACTGAACGAAACCCGACTAGAAGACTGTGAAGAATGATGCCAATGCTGGAATGTTTTCTCTTGTGAATAATCACATAGCATCACTCAGTGTTCCATATTTCGGTATAACATTAATTAGTATATAAATTGAAAATACGCTCATAAGTATATGTATTTCATATTTTCTAAGCGCACCGGCATATACTTCTGCACCCCTCACTCCTGTGTATGTAATTCATCCAATTATATTACGATATAACCCGAAAACGTAATGAGTCAATGATTTTGTTTTCAATTTAGAAATGGTCATAATAAATTACGCGATAAAAAATGAAACGATTTGAAAGAATTCCAAATGCAATCATAGAAGAGGGGACTAACATCATATAACAGTTTATTTTTTACGGATCAGAAATTTGAAAAATTAACAAAATAAATGCTCTTTAATGTCCTAAATGACGACTGTTATGTTTGTGCCCTTTTTTAGTTCTTCACGTAATAAGTAACAACTGATTTGGAATATTTCAGTAATTATGAAAACAGTGATCATATCTAAGCATTAACACTGGGAATTCAACTTGACAAGGGGGGATGTGTAATAAATGCCCAAGTACTGGCTTCCAACCCCTGATATTTTGGCATATTCCAATGAAGGACGATATTAACGATTCCCCCCTTTCTCTTCCTCTCCGTGTTAACTATATATATATATATATATATATAGATATAACCTGTACCTGTAATAAGTCACCATTTTGCTTAGAAATGACCTGTTGCGAATCGAACTTGTGGTCTCCGATTACCTTTCCAGAGTTTTTCGTTTTGTCGTCTCTAAGAATGCCGGGTGACACACCTTCCACTCCGCGCTTACCTGACAAGAGAGGACCCGATAACTCTTCCTGCTCCCCCTGTATAAATAATCAAACCCTCGGCTTCTTGAACTAACGTGATTTATCCAACGTTACCCGTCTTCAGTGAAATGTTTCATTTCTTCCAGCACAGGGCGACGTCCAACGCGATATCTGTAAGCCGGAAGAAATCATAATATTTTACGTTAATGATCTTGTCCATCTGCTTTTATGGGATTTCATGAGTTGAGTTCCACTCTTTATTCTTCTTCTTTCTTGGAGATTGTGGAGATTGCGGTTCACATGGACTGCCAAGGCTGCGAGAAGAAGATCCGAAGGGCGATATCCAAGTTACAGGGTAATCCACAAGCTTCACAAAACCGACTAATCATTACCTTCTCTTCCGAGTCTCTATCTCGAAGGATCATTAAACTTGAACGTTCGAATTTGCAGGGGTTGACACCCTAGACGTCGACCTAGATAAGCAGAAGGTGACGGTGACCGGATATATGGATCGGAGGAAGGTCCTCAAGACCGTCCGCCGCACCGGTAGGAAGGCCGAGTTCTGGCCGTCCCCGTTCGACGGCGAGTACCACCCATACGCTCTGCAGCATCTAGAGGACTCCACCTACTCCTCGACCCACAACTACTTGAGGCACGGATACAACTCGAGCGTTCAGGGCTACTACCCCGAGCCTGCATACTGTCAGATCATTGACGACGAGATGGCCGCTCTCTTCAATGATGACAATGTCCATGCATGCCGCGTCATGTGAGGATTTTGTTGTAAGTTCGATCCCACCCTGAACGGATGAAATCAAATAATCCAAGGAGGCACAACAAATTTCAGCGTAATTTGATCATGGGAAACATGCGTCTACGGAATTTTTTTGTTATAATTATGAGACTATCTCAACGTGTGAGTAGAGTTAGAATCACATATGTTTAATGCACATTAACGAAATTAGAACATTCAATTTGATTTAAAATAAGGGTAACTAAGTTAAATTGATATCATCTGAGAATATTGATCAACTTGGTTCTCGTCAATGGAAGATTCCATAATAGGGAGATAACTTTAACTGATGAGTATTAAGTACTATAATTCATGTGGAAGAAGGCGAAACATAGATGTGAATAGGCCAACACGGAATAAATAGGTTTCAAACGAAGGTTCTCGGTCACGTGAACACGAAAAAAGATAAGGTTCCCACACCTCTTTTTGCGAGGAGTGGATTGTAAAGCGAGATAAGACTTTGTAAAACAAGTGAGGTCCCGGAACACGATAATACCATCCTCCCACCAGTTCCCTCATTGAGCCACAATCTTTATCTTCAAAACATGTAAGGGAGCCCATAATACCTCTCTCTCTCTCTCTCTCTCTCTCTCTCTCTCTCTCTCTCTCTCTCTCTCTCTCTCTCTCTCTCTCTCTCTCTCTCTCTCTCTCTCTCTCTCTCTCTCTCTCTCTCTCCCCCTCCCTCCCTCCCTCTCCTATCTACCTATTATCCCCCATGAGTATATAAATATTCCAATGACACAAACGGAGAACATATTCTGCAAGAATGCGGATTGTCCACTAAGATAACCAAGTCTTCGAGGAATATCTCAATGCCTCATCATACCCATAGACTGATAGTGCATATTTACAAGGTGCTCCATCGGGCCTAAGCTTCTAGCAACATATTTGATTATTATATTTAATTGTGCCCTCATAGCTCCTGCAACGTTATTCTGGCTCAATATTTCAATAATTTTGCGAAACTATTAATTTTTTTAGCATTTTTGTTTAAGCTTAAAATCCTATAGTGAGAAATGCTCTATTATTGACAAAAGATCCCACGTAATACCAAAGTAGGTTGTCAATTGACCAAATAAACCCAAAAATCCAGCCAAAGTTAAATCATTTTCTTTTACGTCTTAAAATATCATATAAAGGCAATAATAGGAACAAATAGTAACCTTGTCGACATATCATGACCCATATAGTTTTGGCACAAAAAATCTTACTTTGTTGATGCTTCAACCAATCTAATGCCAAAATTACAAGATTACAAGAGACAAATCAAAAGTACTATATTATAAAAAACCACAAGACAATTCTAGATAGTTTAAAATTTTTGAATAATGTCAAGACGTGATGGCGCAGTTGGCTGGCGCGGAATTCTCACAGCTTCCAGAGGTCGAGTCTTCGAGCATCTCTCACTCCAATCATTACATTTCATGATTTTCACTGCTACTCTTCTTTCCTTTATATATCTTGCACTGACAGTTTTTGACTTTTTACGGTAACGTCTTACACTATTTGGGAAGAACTCTCACGAAATCACCGTCTTATCCACCTCTCACCATGGTAGCTCATCGCCTTCCCCCATCAATCATATTATACTCTGCGCTTCCATAATGAAATAATAATCTGAAAGTAGCATTTATCTCGTTTAGTCCTTGCTAACTAATTCGACACACTGATGAGGCCTCACTGGGCTGTGATGGCTAGAAAACACACTCCGCCGCCAAAATCCTAGAAAAAATCTCTCCCGTCATCTGTATTATTGAAAAAAGTCAGGGATACAACAGCTGGGGAGCCTCACTGCAGCAGTGGGCACCCAAAATGGGCATATATACAGCGAGAAACCAGACTCTACAGAGGAAAACGTAAACAGAATGGGATAGGTCAACGCCTGAAAACCCCCGACACTGCCACTGCCATCGCCACCACAACTGCAGAGACCATCAGAGATACAAGGACAAGCCTCAGGTTATAGAGGTACCCAGAGTGGGCCACACCTGCAGACACTTTCAAGGTGGGTTGACTTCCCCTGCTGACCCCATTCCTCCATCTCAACCGAGAGCTGTTTCTCAGTTCTCCGTTGACATCAGGCGGCGTAGGTTCTACCTGGCTCCTTCCCTCACCAGTGCTCGATGAAAGAAGAGGCCCCATCCGAATATTAGCTTGCAAACGGATCCTCCTGATCGCTGTCCCCTGTTGCACGCCCAGAGCAGGCACAGGATGCTGAGCCTGGCGAGGCCTGATCCTAATGCCGCTCTCCTCAAGCCCATCAATAGCAACCGGTGGGCTCTCCTGAACCTGACTGGACGGCTCCTTGAAGCTCCCAACCCTGTATGCATCTTGCAGAGGTTCTGTGGCCGAATCCATGGAGAAAATGCCCGCGGGGATCTGACCATGATGATCAAAGAGGTGATCGAGAGGAAGATCAACCAAGTTCTGAGATGAAATCGATCGCCTGAAGAACCATTCGGAGCCTTCTCCATCTGGACGCCCCCTCTGGATTTGATTCTACAGTTCGCAACCAGAAGACGGGGAAAAGTTTGAGCAAGTTGCAAGAAAAAAAGAAAAGAAAAGGGAAATTCGGGAGCCAGAATGCTCACCTGCAGCATCTCCATTTCGGCATCAACATTATAACTGGTTGATAGACTCTCCTTGGCAGAGAATGAATCCCAGAGCTGAGCTCTCTGCGAGGTACCGGCACCACAAAATTGCGCCCCATCAGCAGGGTGCCCACCTTGAGCCATTAAGAAACAGGGCTCCCCTTCCACTCTGGGATTATTGTCCCCATGGCCAAACTGAGGAGGAAAGGGAGTGAAGAAATCATCCATGTAGATGGGAGAACTCATCCTCAGAAACCCATCGGAATCCAATGGTTCTATCTGCGACCCGCATAGCTTGTCCAAGGCTGCCAACAGAGGATCCATCTGCATTCAGCAATAAAACAAAAAATCCATAACCAGATTTGGCAGTGAAATCCATAGTTATAATTGAGCAGAAGATAAATAATGCATAATTATCTACGCACGTCAGCGCCAGTTTCGTCATTATGAACTCCTAAATCTGAAGCTACATGGCCACTACGATTGTCACCATGTTCTGCTTTCACAGGATGCCTCACACCGGAGTCTGCTTCGTCACCGCACCATTGGTCAACGCCATCCAGCTGCTTCGGTTTTTCTTGGGCTTCCGATTTGAGCAAATCATGATTCGATGGTGCCACAGACTCTTCTCCTGCGTCCTCTGCGCGATGCTTGTGGCTGGGAGAAGACCCTGTTTGGGCGGGGGAGAAGCTGCTGTCTTCCACTTCCTCGCTATTCGGATTTGAACCCCTCTCATCTGGTTTCTTGAACAACCGGCATAGAACATATGAATCCTACACAAGTGACACGATGAATTCAGATCAAGATGCCACAAAATGAGGTTCTTGATGGATTTACCAAGAGCTGGGGAAGGTCCAGCCGGGTCGGTCTGGGTCATAGGTCAAATCATAAATAATGAACCATCGAAATAAAATAATAATAATAATAATAAGAATAATAATTCAAGAGAGGAGACTCATAAGTCGAGCTATTTGTCTAGATTAAACTGAAACTCCAAGATTCTACATGGTAGAACCATGATAACACTACTTTCCACCATCTTATGCAGAACATCTAAGCGGGGGCCACAGAAGGTCCTGTTGAACCAGAATTTCATGGAAATTGAATCGCCAATTAATGAACATCTGATCGATTACTCTCCAAATCATAAGCCGAGTGCCTACAAAACAATTTGCGAAAACAGAAGACCAAAGTGCACGAAAAGACGTTGATTTCCCGTAGCAAGTTCATGATCCTGAACAATGTGGTGGATAGATGCATGTCAGACGGGGAAATATGTGAGTTATCACCACAGTTTTCTCAGAGATTTCAGCCCTAGTTAGGAATTCAGCAGGTTTCTCGATAATCTTCACAGACCTGATCACCAGTGACCACGTCGGAGTCGTTCTCGGAGGCAGAGTTTATGACGCGGTACTCGTGCATGATCCAGGTTGTTCGCTCGCCCTTGGGCGCTCGCCCACGGTAAAAGACGAGGGTCTTCTTCATCCCGATGTTCGCCGTCCCCGCTACCGTGCGGGACTTGATCGTCCGGTCTTTCCCGGTGGCTTTCCAGTATCCCGCCTCAGTCGCCCTGTTCGAGCGGTGCCCGTTAGGGTACTTGCGATCCCTCGGGGCGAAGAAGAACCATTCCGGGTCCCCGCTCCTGATCACAGACTGGTCTGAAGAAAAGGAAAGATCACAGAGAATCAGCACTCTAAGCCCGGCCTGGTTGAGGGAACAGGATCGAAATGCGACGAGATGAGAGGAAACTACGATTACCCGGAAGTTCCCATGGCTCGAATTTGCAAACATCGACCTCGGGGATGACCTCTACGAGGTGAGTCTGGCCGTTGATCTTGCTCCTCAGGTAGTGGTTGACGAGCTCCTCGTCCGTCGGACGGAACCGGAATCCTAGTGGGAGTGATTCCAAAGGCAAAGTGGCCATGTCAACTCCCCACCACCACCACCTAGGTTCTCCCTCGCGCAACACCTTCACTCCGATAATCCAATATTCGTCTCTCCCGCCACCCTCAAAGCAAAAAAGTATGTTAGGATAGCTACGACAGAGAGAGCAAGCGAGAGAGAGAGAGAGGCGGCGGAGAGAAGGGGAGATATCGGAATCGTCGGAAGGGTGCTCCAGACAAACCTTTTCAAGAGGAAAGAGGAAAGGAGGGAAGGGAGAGAAGTATTGAGCTACAAGACCAGTTCTAAAGCCAAAGGCCCCATTTTTCTGAGAGAGAGAGAGAGGATCCGTACGGATCTACAGGGCTACGGAACCGCGTCGATGACGATTTGTGCCGAGGTTATCAACGAGTTCCTTCGCCGAGTCCGAAAACCGGTCTCAACATCAAACGCGTAAGGCCCGTTCGAGTCATGAGGTTTGCGAAGGCGGTAGCCCATCCCCGAAGCCCCACGACTCTCCGAGTCGAAGCGGGTGTGACCCCACGGGCCTCGAGGATCGCTGCTCCCACTTGGGCCGGGTAGGAACGGTTGAGTCGAACCGAGTGACGACAAGGGAAGCGGCGATTCTAATCTTGGGTCACAACACGTTTAGTCAGCGGTGCATGTGGCATGTGCATGAAGTCACGTGCACATATTTGCAGTTACGTGTAATTTTCTGTCATTGTAAATCGGACTTCATCAAAGAGAATATCAGATATTTTCAAAGGTTAGGGATATTTAAAATTATATAGTATGACGCAAAATTGCTGAAATAAAATGTATTTCAATTTGATCAAGAACACGAGAAATTATGAGGTTCCATTCTAAGTCCATAAATATCAAGACTCTTTTCTCTTTAGTCTAGGAACTTCCCAACCTCAACTCAAACCGTGAGTCCTTACAAAAAAGGCCAAATAAAAATAAAATAATAGGACCATGTGAAGTCAAAACTCCATTTGCAATTTTACATGTGATTTATCAAAGTGCAAGCTAGAGAGAGAAAGAAAGAGTGTGTGTGTGTGTGAGTGTGTGTGTGAGAGAGAGAGAGAGATAGAGAGAGAGGGGGGGGGGGTTGGAAGAGAACATGTCCACATCTATATTAGGGTGAGCTAGACCATTGATTCCATGAGTTCTTATGAAACACCTTTTAATATGACGAATATATAAATATGAACATAATGTCACATCAATGTTGTCCAATATGACAATAATCCAACATTTTGTTTTCATATATGTCTTCAATAGGAAGCTGGCCCATCTAGCCTCAATAAAATTCAATCTGCCATTTAATATAAGTGGATGAACCAAAATGTTGTTTTCATTTGGAATAATAGCTCATGCTATTGAAAGTTATAGTACACCATCCCTAGGTTAAACCAAATTTTCAATATATATTATCCTTGTTGGAATTTCTAATTATGAAATTTTCAATCATAATGAAGGTCTATATGATGAGGGATGAACTTAAGCTTCCAAATAGAATTTATTTAACTTATAACTACAAAAATATATGATCAACAAATCTGTATGAAGATATAGGTGACATTATTGACATATGTGTGTAATGTAAGGCAAAACTCTAATATTGTGTTCCTCATGTCAGATCTCAAAGCAAGTTCAAAAAATAAATTTAGCTGGGCACCACTGTGTTTCCTCTTTAATAGAAAAGGCCAAGAGCCTATATTTATAAATTTTTCCTCTCCCTCCCTCAAAGCTTAAGTGAGATATCTTTATGAATCTATGCTCTCAATCATGCAAGGTTTTTTTGTTGAAGGAAAAAAACCATGGCAGAAATACACCGAAAAATAGAAATGAAGATATAAATGTTCTCATGTCAATGATATACCTTTGCACATTACACATGTTTCTCGTTGATGAAACAATGTGGTAAAAAAATATCAGCATTAGGCCTTCCTATGTTGACCTATTTCAAGATACACATCAGCCACATAATATATGGGCAAAAATCAAAAACCCTTTCACTATCTTAGTATATTGTCTTGCATAACTTAAACATGCTATGCATTTAAAACTAGTTTGAATATGTTTCATGAGGAGATTTTATTTTTATATTCCAATAGGTAGCCTTCATGTACAACCTAATACCAACATGAAACAGATTTCCAATAGTTATAACATTATGCAATCATGTGGGCTTTCACTTTAATATAATGTATGAATAAGGATTTAAATTATCTTTGATTTTTTTGGATAAAAAATACCTAATAAAATGAAGTCTTGTAAAATGATAGTAATATAAACCCACATTAAGGGCCTCTTATGTCTATAAGTGCAACATCGAAAGTTGTCACTTTGGTTATCATGTGAGCTCATAAATGTTAGAAGATAGACATATGTTTACAAATATCGTGTGTGTGTGTGTGTTGTGTGTGCATGCATATTTAAGCTTATTGATGTAGTTTCTTTTGCCTACTTAATAATTAAATATAAAAATACATAAATTTCATAAATAAGATCAATAATTATGTGCATAAGTGCATATATTATATACTCTAGTAGATTTATGTGCTTTCCTTTAATTATTTGATCATTATAAAGAAGATGTCAACTCCGTATAAAAAATATAAAGTTACGAGCTTAGCTTGAGCTATCGCTTCTCTTCCAAGGCCTAGCCTTGTATAAGACTCGAATAGAAGTTCCAAGCAACTTGGGTGTCATGTGAGAGGCCCCCACCTCTCCCTATGATGGTAGGGAGGCTCCCGCCATCCCAAATCTCTCTCAAGCAAAGTCAGGGTGGTGGCGGTGTCTCTCTCAATGGAGCCACAACTGTAGTGGGGTCCATTTTCCCCTTGCTGAAAACAGCCCGCTCCTAGAGAGGTCCTAATGGGGCAAAAAGGTCTCAAATCCCAACATGATAAAAGGAAAAAAGGAGTAAAAACTCCCTCAACACCCACCTCTAAGCTCAAAGGGAGTGTCCTAAGAAGCTCAAGAAGATGAAGTACATGCACTGATGGGACACTCATTGAAGATGGTCAAAGAGCATCTAACATTGACACTTTCCACCATGGTGTCGAATTGGCAAGCCCCTAAGTGTACACTAGTACAGCAATATTGGAAGCCTCAGCGTGTTTCTATCATCTAGAGTTAGAATGAAGATCCCCACATGGTGATTTTGAGGGTATTGAGGCTAAAGATAGATTATAGAGGCAGGCAACAAATCAAATTGGTCAGCCATAGGTGGAGTGGACTACCAAAATGAAGGCAGCCGAATAGACTTCATGAGTATGAAATGTGAATCCTTGGAGTGCCTTGCACTCTTTTTGAAAATTTGGACCCAAAAAGAATGGAGGAAAAAGGACTATGAAGTAAGGAGTGAAAGAAGAAGGGGAGTCATCAAGGACAAGAACTAAGACACAACTCAAATCTCACAAAGCTATCAACCCCCTCCTCCCACCCAGAAAAAGAGCTAGAATCACAACAATTATGAACAGAGGTAATTAATTCCTCTTCAGCATGCTCATTCACAACATTACATCAATGCATCATCATCTAAAATAACCTAGACTATTAACCCATCAAAGAGGTGCTAATTCACACAATCAAGACAACTACAAAATCTATTGACATGACAAACATCCGCATGAAATACATTATTCTCTTATTGAGAAACACCCAAAGAGTTAGTAAAATGAAACAACCATTAGAAGGAATGAGTTATGCAGTCACCATCAAAGACTCTCACATCCAACTAAAATTCAGCATGAACATCACTATGAAAAAAAATTGTATCAAAGATAGTTACATAACCATCGATTTTTCCGATGAAGAGATTGAGACTCTCACTATCCTATTTACAATGTTTTAGTATGAAAATTCTCACCAACTTGGCCTAGTCTATTGAAAATTAGATATGAAATGAAGAAACAAAGCCAATTTGAAGGGAAAATATCAGTAAGAGACACACAATTGTCATGTAAAAATTTGATTTATTCTAGAATGAGATTTCGATTTTACATGGAGCAAACCATCATAGGCAATCAAAGGAACACACCTCAAATCATTTAGATGGTCACCTTTTTTCACACTAGAAATGTAAATATCCAAAGTCCTAGTATGGATAAGTTTTTCAAGACTAAGAGCCCTTTTTTTAGCCCTCCTACATTTAAGAGTATAGCATCCATGGAAAGTAAATTTATATCATTTGATAAGGATATTAAGATGTTTACTTGACATGTAGAACTAAATCTAGCTAAAAACATATTTAAATTATGTAATAATTCAAAATAAGGAATAAGAAACAATTACACAACTACTGGTGGTAGAGCACAAACCACATTTATGTAACATTTGCTGGAAAGTAGAACATACAAACTATGACTATAAAAATAGATCAAGAAAAAAAGAATAACTCAGAAAAATCACAAATCCTAGCCCTGGAAATTATTAAAAAGAATTCAATAGTGATCATCAATAATAGGCAGATGAAACTATGATGGGAAAAAAAGAGAAAATTATCAAGAACATAAATTGATATGAGTGTAGGAAGAAAAATACCATTAGGCTCACTTTTGAGTCAAAGAATTCACTTGACAATGGGTCTTAAAACTTTTCCCCATAAGATAAATCAATGGAGAAATGAATTAAGGTAGTGGAGATGGTGACTAGGAAAAATAATAATGAATTAGAAATAGACTCATAGAACATATTGGAAACTAATAAAGTTACCCAACCTAGAATAGAGAAGGATTTACAAATTAGAAACAAATCTCCTAATCAAATTGATACACCAACAATAATTGTCCCTTTTGTCCCACCGAGTAAGGAGAACACATAAAAAAAAATTAATAACAGCTCTAGCAATTCAGTTAGGTAAGAAATTATGAAGTAATGGAGTGCCCCTTATAATAGGAGCATGTGTAACACACCAATATTCAATGCCTTCTTGTGATTGTCTCACATAAGGAAGAACCTTTCAAATCACCTTTACCTAGTGTGATGAAGAACTTGATGAAAGATCAAAATACATAAGAATATTCACATCAA